CGCTGTCCTCCCATGCGCCACCAACTTGGCTGAACATGAGAGTCCCATCCCAGGACAAACCCAGGGGGTTTCTTGTGCAGCGTCTGACTCGCCTGGATGCAAAAGGTTCACCGTGTCCTCACCAGCATCCTGCTGCTGCAGCCATGCTTGTCCTCCCTCCAAAATAATAATAACACCTAAAACATGCTATTTATGCAGGATGATGTCTCAGCATATGAGAAAAGCTGCGGTTTTAATTGGTGGCAGGACAAAGACAGTGCAGAGCGAACATGAGCTAATGAAGGGACGCATCTTTTGTCCCCGCGTCTTTTGTCTAGTCCCAGCTGAGAAACGGGATACACTGTGTTCTGCCAGCATGCTGTCAGCGGCAATTACGGTTTACACTGCTGCCTGGGAGCCCAATCCTTGTGCCTTTTGACATGGTGCTCCACAGTGCTTGACACGAAGCACAAATGTCTGGCCAGGGCATCAAGGAAATACTACGGTTACGCAAGAGGATCTACGCATCATCTTTGTCGGAACTCGAAGCACACGAGCGCTTAAAGAGTCGAGATGTGCGTGCATGGTAGGTGCGGAGCAACTGCGAGCTCTGATGCTGTGGGTGTTTGCTGTTGTAAGGCCCAGCGAGCAAAGCTTTACGGTTGCATCACAAATCTCCTAGCAACCATCATGGCTGCCCATTAAGTAGAGAATATTAAAGATGGACGCAAGATCGCTGTCAGTTGAAATAATTTGCACTTTTCAGGTTTTGTGGGTTAATTCGGGCTAAGGTCTGCTTTTGTTGTCACCAAATAAACGAATAATAGCGCACGCTTTGGAAACTCTTTTTACCTTCAACAGCCAGCAGGACGATGACGTGCTCGACGAACGCTGGAATCAAGTTACAGAGTTTTAACATATGTTCATAACTTATTGGGAAGCTCTCACTTTTCTGCAAGCTTTCTCGTTTTGTTTTGTTTTGGGTTTTTTTTGTCTCCATAAATGTAAAGTTGAACCATGCAGCTCCATACAACCATACAGCTGCTCTCAAATGATATCGAAAAGCTTATCACTGGCATCAGGAGAATCCCAGTTGATAGGGATTTGTACGGAAGAGGATTAGGGCCACTGAACAAAAGCCTGTGCTTGAGATTTTTTTGTGTGTTTTGTTTCTCACAACTCTGAGAGAAAAGTCAAAATTCTTACCTCAGAATTCTTTGGGGGGGTTTTTTCCCCAGAAAGAAAGAATTCTGAGAATAATGTCGGAGAAAAGGTTATTCTCAGAAAAAGTCGGAATTCAGAAAAAAAAGTCTGACTTATGACTTTTTTCTGAAAATGTCAGAATTCTGAATTTCTGAGAAAAACCTAAGAATTCAAAAACAGAAAAATACGAAGTTTTACTTCTATTTAAAATGTCTTTTTATTTTGGGGGAATATACACCCCATTTTTTAAGATGCTCTAATTGTCTTCCATATTTTCATAAAGCAGTGTTGACTGGATTTTTCGCTGAAGTTGATTTTTAAGTCGATTGCAGCTCTGTTTGTGTCGCTTTGCCTCACTGCACAGTAGATTTAGTATGTATGTTGGGGTGAATCGAGCCATGCTGTTGTAAAACATGTTGCTGAAGTGATGAGGCCTTTCTGTTTTAAAATGCCCCAAAACTTGTATTTATATGATTCAGCATTAATGGTGCCTTCACAGATGTGAAAGGTGCACGTGCATTACTGAACCCCTGAATGCTTTTACTGCTTGGTAAACGCTGAAAGGGCTGCAGATTCAAACATCGTAAAAGTACAGCAAGCAGCAATCCGGCAGCTGTCTTGGTTCCAACCAGGTTGTGTTATGAATGCACATTTGGCGCTCTCATATTTGAGATCATAGTCGAAGGAAGTGGCAAATATCATTATTATGCGCCACAGTCGAAACGGAGTGTGAAAGGGCCAATTTATGGGACCGTTCTTGTACAGTTGTGTGCAGTGGCAACAGGCCCGTTGCCACAACCCTCTGTTGAATGTTGTGGCATTGTTTGCTTTTGGTGCACAGTGAATTCAGGCCTGCACGTACTGAACATGACTTCAAGTATTCAAGATTTTGACTGCTGTGGAAGTCAAATTGGCCTGGGCTATTTGCTATGATGCAAGCAAACCAGTTGTTCTTCACCGTGTGGCGTTGGTGGTTTTCTCTAAATCAGCTGCGTTATCTTAAATGTGCGGCTTTTTTGAACATATCTCACACGTAAGTAAGTCACACGTAAGCCCTTATGGTCTGTGGCAGTTACACAGCAAAACAGCGTTTTGGACACGCGTCTGCAGCGTAATGACCAATTTCCAACTCATTTCTGATTTTTCTGTCACATGTAAGATGTGACCACCTTGTTTTTCCGAGTCTTCCAGCTTGAAACGAAAGGTCAGATGGTTGTTTTCTGACCGTCCGCAGGACGCAAACTTGGCCGGGGCTCACGCAGGGGTCACTCATTCTCTTTTTATCGGGGTCCCTGACGTCAGCCGGTGCCCTTGGGAAGCGAATCTGCGACCCAGAGGAAAAAGCCTCTTCAAGGAGAGGCGTGTTTGATTAATCGTATTGTTCCTGTCGGGTTCACCTTGCTCGCTGGAGTCACCCTGGACAGAGCAGCCAGAACGGAAGTGCGCTGAATGTAATGAGGGCCGGAGCATCCTTCCTCTCTTTCTCAGTCACTGTCTCGCTTTGTAAATGCCACAGCGGCGCAGACAAACGTCTCATTCTCTTTTCTCCGGCATAACAAAGGCCTCTGTCAACATACAGTATGCTCTCGTTGCCAGGACCGGTCAAGTTTGCCTCTTGTCTCTCCTTGGAGATGCGGCGGACGGAGCCCCTTCACCATTTTGCTAAGCTCGTTAGTCCTGCACCCCCCCCTCCCCACCCATTTATATTCCCTATGACAACATATTTTTGATGCAGCTACGCTAACTTGAGTCGACTAACTCTCTGCCTGAGGGTAGAAGAAGCTATTTATGGCTCCCTGTCTCCCGATTCTTACCCAGTGGAACTGAAGGATGGAAGGATGGAGAGGAATGGAGAAAGGGAGATATGAAGGAGCTACATTGAGGTGTTGGGGGGGGGGGCTCTGCTGTGTAACTAGGCTACATTTAAGATTGATGGATCCTGTCGCCAAGGTATAGGGCACTACTTTGGCGGGTTATCGCTTCATTACGTTGCTCTCCGACTGCTGTGTGTCCCACTCTCCCTCTTCAGTGCTCCAGCACACACCTATGCTCCCTCCTCCCCACGTGAGTGTCGGGTATCAACCCTGCGGTTTGGGGCTGAAAGCTTATACGCTTTGTCTAACTAACCACAGACAACGACACGCGCACCCCTCCACCAATTCCCCACACTTAAAAGTCGGAGATGTAAAGCTCCCACCAGCAATTTGTGCAAAAGCAGGGCGTAGAATTACTCCAAGCCACAGGTGTCATGCACAGGCAGATGCACCTCATTTCCATTGCAAAATGCAGCAGCGTGTGTTTCATTTGAATAGGAACGTCAGGGGATATCGGCTCTCACCGATGCGGACGGGTTTGTTTTTGGAGAGGCTTTGACCACCTTGTAATATTTCCTCGCTCTTTACATAAAGTCTGCAGGAGTTTGAATTTGAATGTCACCTGTGTGTGTAGATCTGTTTCAACAGGGCCAAATGTGACACTCAAGCCCACGCCCAAGCCCTCACTTGTTGGGGGGACAGGGTGGTTGAAGGTGGAGGGTTCGGGGGTACTGGTGCATCAATTCGCGCAAGGTGGCGCGAGACGAATGCACGTACATAATCAGCGCAAAACGCATCCCTGCAGCTTCAAGGCTAATTAAGAGCGTGCGTCTGTGTGTATGTGCCCGTCTGGTCCAGAGAGAATTCCAGAAATAGATCACGCACAGCGAGACGCTCGCCCGTTTCCCTCTCCTTTTTTTTTCTTTTTGATGCCTCCGGAGGGATTTTACATGGATTTTCATCTCGCGTCCAAAAGGAATAATTGCATATTTGTGCCCCTCAGATGTTTTTGAGCCTTGTGCTCAGGATTTTTAGATGTAAATGTATTTATATACAGATGGCTCAGGTGCTCGTGTTTACTATGAATACACACACATATAGAGGGTGGATGAAGCAGCAGTAGTCGCAGGTTTGTGTGCGGTTGCAATGCATGCACTATTTCAATGTCAGTGTTTTTTTTTTTCTCGTTTCGCCGTTTCGTTGCTTTTTCCTCCATCTTTCCATCGCCTCATCATCCCTGCTTCCCTCTACCTCTCTCCCCTCTTACCCCCTCCATCCCCTGATGCATCCTCCTCCTCCACCACTACCCTTCTCCGTGGCTCTGCTTTTTATAGCCATGTCTTCCCAGGGCTCGGCAGCTACAAAAGCCTTTTCATGTTGCCACTATAATTACAGCCTACACACACACAGACACACACATGCGCACACATGCACATTAGAGGAGTGTCTTTGTGTCTGTATGCATGTGCGTTGTGTGTGTGTGCCTGTGTGTGCTCCTGCATGTGCCGTTACACACAAAAGGGTGAGCTATTTTTACCTCTCTCCCTCCCTCCCTCTCCTCCTCTCCATCGCTCCCCCCACCTCCCCGCCACCACCATCCCCCTCATCCCTCTCTGCCGCCGCTGCTTGCTGCCAGCCACATTTGCTATGCTGAGCACAGGCAGCATCAGTCGAGCCCCAACTCCTCTCCTCTCCTCTCGCACGCCGAACTCGCGCGCCCCTCGGCGTCCCCTCAGAGCTTTTCCGAGCACCCCTGCGGTCGCGAAGACCCTCCGCGCATTCACCACTCGCTTTCTCTCTCCGGCCAATGGAACGCGCTCAGGTGTCGGTACCGTTGCCGCTGCACGCGCCGGCCGCAGCGCAGATGACCTGAAGCCCGCTTGTTTGCACTGTGGCTCTTTCTTTTTTTTTCTTTTAAAAAACTGCCCGATTAGGTTTGTCGCTGGAAGCTTGTCTCAATGTTGCGGACCATATTTGAAGCGGAGTGTTCTCTCTCTCCCACAGAGGGAATCCTGGGAAAGGAGCAGCCGCTCGAGGTCCTGAAGACATCGGCGCTCAACCACATCCCAACAGGTTGGACACTCTGGATGTTTGTTTGGGTGCACGTGTATGTGTGTGTGAGCTTCTATAAACCAGAGTGTGTGTGAACAGACGTGATTTCACTATTAACCACATCCTGTGTGACTTTGCATGCGTGTTTGTTTCTCCTGGGATGTCATAAATTGTCGTGCCGTTTGTGAAGTGCCATCACGTCAGAGATGTCTCTGCACTTTGTCCGACTGAAGGTTGACGGCGTTTGACGGGACGACGCCGTACTTCTGTGTTTTATTTACGCTGGTGTCTCAGCGTGCCGTTTGTTTTTCCTTTTTCTTGGTTTTTTTTGCTGAATGACAATCCAGCAGTGTGTTTGCGAGCTCACGTGAAACTACACCAAAACAAACTATTCCACACAGTTTCATCTCCCCCAAACAAATCACACCACTTCCTGTGAACCCCGCCACCCCGAGTATGCTCAAATCGTCAAGTGTTTATTAGCAGCATACAAGCGTGGAGAGTTCATAGCAGCGAGAGGACAGAGGAGAGATGGAGCAGCGCAGAGGGAGGCCAGAGTACAGAAGTGAAAGGGGCACAGATGGAGAGATGAGGTAATCTGAAGGAGAAATGAGTCTGAGGTAATATATGCATAATGCATTATCTAATTCAGTAATGAGGGCGCTTCTAATGCTTCTAACACAGAACAATTTGGATTGTCGTGGTTGAAAAATAGTTACAAAAGAAAACAAAAATGGCAAAAGGCTGATTCATAAATTTCCTCCCGTGCTGCTCTTTCCACGGCTCTCCCAGAGCAGCGATGAAGAAGTGCTGTAAGCTCGAACAGCCTGTTGCTTCAGGGGAGCAAACAGCAAAGTTTCATCTTTGGTTCGACCCTAAGCGTCTTGGTCTTTCACAGGCTTCACGCGCTCTCTCTGTTGGGGTTGTTTTCTGCGCGCCTTCCGGCTGCGCTGATAAAATATTGAAATCTGCCGGAGTGACTTCATCAGATATTCTCCAAATCTGTTGTCTTGGATACAGAGCGGCTCGGGGCCCTCCGCTTTGGTGTGACCCCGGACCGTTCGGTTCTTTCTCCTGAGAAGCGAGAGCTGCGGGAAATCTTAACATCTACATCGCTGCATCATTAAAGCCGCTTTTGTCATGTGATCCTAATGTAACCAGATGCTGGTGGTTGCATCTTAGCACACAGTGCAAAGCTCTGGTCGGTGCACCTGCACGCAGCTGTGCAGGTCCATTTTTTCACCAGCGTTGTGTTTGTTTTGTTTTTTTAACCGAATAAATTGCGTTTCCTGCAAATCTGCAGAAGCTCAAAGCAGAGATGTCGTAATTTAGCCGCAGACTCTGGTGCCAGCTTCTTGTTTGTTAGGATGCTGACATATCTTATGTAATGCTAAACCGACTGCTTGGAGGTTTTGAAGTGCTATTAGACATATCAGGCACGTTTGAAAAGTGGAATTGAGAAAAAAAGTGGCACCGCTTTCAGACATTCTCTAGTCCAAGGAATAAATTGAAGAATAAAATAGTCGGCAGATCATTCCATCAAAAAATGACATCGCTGCACGGCGTTAGCTTGGGCAGGCCTCAAAGTCGAGCTCATCCATAGTCACGTCAGACCAGCTGGTGGTGTGCTGTGCTCTGTTTGGTCAATTTCATGTGAGGTTGACTTTTTAAGTATCTTCACGCTGCCCGTAGCTGCTGGGATCTACAAGCTGCTTTGCAACCCACCTCGCCCCTTGTGTTGGACCCCAGCTCCTCCTTTCACGACCTTTTTTTTTTTTTTGCTACTGATTTGTGTTTAATGGTTCTGCTGCTCTCAACCTCTGGGTTTCCATGTCTGCAGATTGAAGAGGAGTTGCTAAAAATAATATTCAAATTTTTTTATAAATAAAGAAATAAAGTAATGCAAATGGCCGACTTCCTGTTTTACTGCTTTGCTGTCACTTTAAATTGAATGTAGCATTAGAAGTATGAGAACAAATGTTCTCTTGATCTGAAATATGAACAAATCAGCTGATGATATAAAGAATCATCAGCTGATGCCCTAAACAAGGACAACTGACAAATTTGACAACCCCTCCCCCTCCTCCCCCTGCAGAAGTAGATGTAGTTCAAAGAGCGCTCACCTCTCTCTGATAGTGCACACCTACTCTACTGAACGCATCTTTGCGTTGAAGCCCTCACCATCCTCTATTTGTGCGTCATCCCAGATAGCGAGGTCTGACACGCCTAATTTAAAGCCTGGTCGCAAAGGACTTCTGCACGTACCGCACCTCGGCTTCACACGTCGCCCCGCTCTAGATCTCACATGTTGTGTCTCTGCCGTCTCCTTCCTGTTAGCCCGCGGTGCCGCAGACCGCTCTGTGATGTCATTGAGACGGCGACAAGTCGGGGCTTGCATTCAGAAGAGCAGGACTTGCTGCACCTCGACACGTTCCCCAACGCCACGCCTTACCTGTTCCCTTTCCCTACTTTGCCCGAGGTCTGTTTGTGTTTTTTCACTTTTTTCTTTTTTTGGAGGTCGCCGGGCCGTTTCAGAGCCAGTCTTGCTCTGATAGCTCTCACTGAGAGAAAAACTAAAAGAGATGTTCACGCAGCCCGCTCTCAGAGGCCGATAAAGCGACCGCAGCTATTTTCCATCATCAACAGATGTGCTACTTGTTGCCTCTCGTCGCACCCTGCTGCTAAACTCACTGTGAAACCTGTTCTTTGTCTCTTTGCACGGCGCCAGAAAATAAAAAAGAGAGCGACCTCAGTCACATTTTGCTTCTCTAAACAGCTCCGCTCGGCTCTCAGTATGACATCTATTAAGCCTAATGAGTGTGGAGCTCAGCGAGTCAGACCGTGGGATATACGCTGTGCTATCCGAGTCTCAAATCAGAGACGCCAGCCCTCTGCATTGTCTGGTATAAATAGATCCGCAATTGGAGCCAGAAGAGTTGTGGAGTGCGCCTGAGGGGTTGTAAACAGATTGTGATTTGTTGCGGAGAGATGGAGGGAAGAAAGGTGGAGAGGAGGGAGGGAGGGAGCTGCTGAGCGGGTAAGGACGCAAAATAGGGCTGCAGGATAGGGGACACAGGGATGGAGGGTAGAGGAACAGCTGACAGGGAAGGTGGCAAAGGGGGACAAAGTTGTTAGATGATAGAGGGAAAAATGTTTAGGTTATGTGCTGTCAGAGAGGTTGTCGTTGATGCTCAGAGATCTTCTGTGTAAAGTTCAAGGAAGAAAAAGGGAACAGAGATTTGAGGCTTCAGCCGTCTTTGTCTTTCCTCTCTGAAGCCTGAGCTGATCCAAGAGGAAACAAACTGGAACTGAGCTGGAGTCCTCGCTCCTGTCAAGTCTGATTCAGGTACAGCTGCGCAAGAAGCCTGGAAGTCCCTGCGGTCGCGCAGAGACGGCACGTTTGTTAGTGTTTTGGTTTTGGTGGAAGTGCCCTCATATTATCTTCTGTCTGGCCAACATCAGTAAACTGAGGTACGTGTTTGACGTCAGTGCTTGTACACGGAGACGTGCCGATACGAGAGTTTATCGTTTTCTTTTTTTAAGAAGCAGGTCGGTCTCAAAGGATTTTCACTGACTGTGAATGTTTTTGCTTTGTTTTTGTTTTTTTGAAGTATGCCCCTCCTGTGCTCGCGCTTAGTTAAGATCACGTCACGTGTGTTTGACGTGTAAAGGCGAGGCTGCCTTGATGTTCATTCAAGCGAAATAAGATTGTGAATAAACATCTACTGTATGCAGTTTATTGACCTTGACCAATGTAAGTCATTCACATAATAAAGCATCCACAGTAAAGACAGCGTGAGCGAGCAGACTCAGCAGAAGAGAAATCAGTGGTGATGTGAAGATTCTCCATATGCACAGTTTGTCATACATTCATGTTTTTCCATGAAAAGGAGCTTAAAAAAGAACTTAATGTGTTTCCACTTCACACTTTACCTGAAAAACCTTTAAACAGTTACCTCGAGAGCTGTATTGATTTATTGAATTGGTTTGGATATTCACACAAACACAAACATAAGCATTTGTCATTTTTACCTCCAAAAAGTGGTCGCTTGCTCACTAGGCCTGTGTGAGACCTGTAGCACGGATCATCTGGCAAGTTGCTGGGAAAGTTTGTATTTCCTGATCAGTTACAAAAAGTTGCTAATTAATGCTGTAAAATGACTACTAGAGCCCCAGTGCCGCAGGCTTAGAAACTAGTAGTAACCACCGATTTCTATGGAAAACTGTATGTTCAGTGACTGGTTGGCAACTGGTTGCTGGAGGTTGCTGGCAGTCACTAGAGTGAGGTCAGTCACTGTGCTTTGCATGCAAGGCACACACTTGTCTGGAAACTACCGGTGACGAGGGTAATCTGTTAGCGCCTAAAACAAAAAAGAACAGTTTCACTGTAGCAACCTGTCATAGATTACTCCGTTTTCCCTCATGAGGTCTTCGGCTGGTGTCAGCATTTGATTTCACAGCAACTTCCAGAAATCTCCAGCAACCAACTCTGGGCCTGTGTGATTGGGGCCCAACGTGTCAGTAGTTTCCCTCCCAGTTAGCCTGTTTACATTTACGCACTGAGCTGCTGCACTTAACTTTTACCAAGTTTGTGCGTCCCGTAGACGCTTTTGTTATAACGCAATGAAACCTCTGCAGCCAGAGCAGCAGGATGACATGTGTGCAAATATTATTGTATCATTTAAACGTTTAACCTACCTCTAAATATACTTTAAATACTTTTTACAAGCATATATTTTATAGTTTACAGTCATTAAATGTCATAAGATGGACTTTTTCTTGTTGACTTTGTCAACCTGTTTGGTCACAAAATGCCTAATAAAAAGTAGCTGTTACTGTTCAGAGCTCAGCTAAACGTTCAGGCTGTAAATGTAAAACTCGCCTGTAGGACAGGAAGCTGTAAATACCAAATTCACATCTCTTCTATTGACAGTTATTTTTAGTTTAGTAGAGCAGTTTGCATGAAGGACAAACACTGTGCTCGCTGAGAGCCAGGTAGTCATCAGAGCGATGTTGCAGTAGAGAGCTCACGTGCACCTCCAGCTGTTCTTCTGAACAGAATTTCAAAATAAAATGAAGATGCTGGGATTTTTTAATAAAAAAAGCCACTTTAGATTCATCTGAGTTGGTCGAGATATAATTGATTGAAGTGTTTAACATTAATCCCAAATTTAACTACGATCCTGCAGCATTAATACGTCTGGGATCCTCACTCTGTTCACCTGAAACCATTTTGCGGTTTTATTTGTTTGGGAAATGTAGGCAAATTCCAGGCTGGGAATACGAGCTCACAGCATTAAAACCGCAAGGGGGGGGGATAGTTATTACAAGTAAAAGGGGGAGGGAGGGGGCGGATGAGGAAAAAAAGGCATGCGAGCCGGTTCAGATGGGACGGCCCGCCGAGTGAGCGCGAGAGGGGGGAAGAGACATCGGTGTCTGCAAGCGAGCATGGAGGGTTTTCCTTGGCCTTAGAAGTAAAGAGAGCAGAGAGGGTATGGGAGGAGAGTGAGTGTGTGTGTGTGTGTGTGTGTGTGTGTGTGTGTGTGTGTGTGTGTGTGTGTGTGTGTGTGTGTGTGTGTGTGTGTGTGTGTGTGACGCTGGTTCCTGGAAAAGCAGAGGGCTGCAGAATAAACAGGCTGCATGCCTGAGACTGCCCTGTGATGTCACCACTGGGCAAACGAGGGACGAGGGGAGGAGAGAGAAAGGAGCAGAGAGAGAGAGAGAGACGCCCATCAGGTTAAAACAGGAGGCGGGGGGGCGAATGCCGAGCCAAAAGTGACAGAGGCTGAGCTGGAAAAGACAAGTCAGATGTGCAGGACGTACCGTCCTTCCTTGTAACAGCCCTAAAGGAAGAAGAAGGAAGAGGGGAGGAGGAAAAACAAGGAGGAGAGGACGAAGAGGAGGAGGAGGAGAGCACTGATGGGTGCGTTTAACGGCCGCTCTGATTCACACCTTTCTCTCGTCTTTTCTGCATCATCTTCTCCTTTTGTGCGGCTCGCAATTAGCGCCGGTGCCTGAGATGTGAGGTGTGTTTGTGTGTGACCATCAGCGAGAGTGTGTGTGAGGCTTGTGTGTGTTTTCTTGTGGCAGAAGAACACAATGTTCGGGGAGAGAGTGTGTTTATGAGTTATGGATTTGCATTAGGAGCCGCGGCACTTTGATAAGTGTCGTTTTCAGCCGTAAACACATCTCCGGTGTGCTTTCCCCACTCCTCTCTTAGCACTTGCTATAGCTAATATTAGATGAGGAAAAAAATGAATGAAAAACGAAGAAATAGGCCTTATTCCAACCAGGACGTCAGATTGCAGGCCTGAAAGCGCAGCACGGAGTGCTTTTTAACCTTCAGCTAGCAGAGGACTGTGAAGTAGCTCGTTCAGACGCAGGAAAAATGATGACTGAAGAGCAAGAAAAGCAACTTTTCAAAGCAGAAGAGGCCAACGCTCTCAGTCTGTGGCAGCCTGCTGAAAGAATTATGCTGATAAGCTTTTGATAACTTTAGTTCTGTACAGGTTAAACTCGCGCCTCAGTTCTTCAAAGGGTGTGATAAGATCGTGAATCTTTTCAGGACCTTTGGAGGTCCAGAGTTTAAATACAGCATGTGCATTTAACTGCTTGGTCCTATACTGTTGGACTGTTGTGTGGAGCAGTTTCTCTTTTAAATAGTTGTGAGTGATTTTTACAGCTCCTGCAATGTGTCACAAAGAAGTTTGATGTTATTCATTACATGAACAGGTAGAGACATTCATCTATCCGTCAGCTGCTTTAAGGCCTTTAGACGCGTAACATTTGATCATTTTGCGTGTAAAACAGTTTTTTTGGACTCACTAATGCAGAGGTTCACAACCACGAATTTGATACGTTTAGTTTTTCAGATTTTTCTGATCCAAATGAGCAGATTCGACCAATAAGACCACTGCATTTGGCAACAAGCGTGTTTGTAGCTCAAAAGTGCTGAAAATAAAATCATATGGAAAAAGTCAAATAATACTATTTTACCTCAGGCACACAGCTAGACACTCGTCAGATGTGCTCACTACCTGACGCCCTTTATGATACAGCTTCAACCGCTGGGTCAGGTTCTCTCTGCTTCTGCTTTTGGATGAACGCAGAATCGCTGGTTCCTCGTTTTTATGTTAAGAAACATCAGGAGGGAACACGCCTGTATTTCGTGTAGTTTGTAAATCTCATGGAAATCTTCCATCAAGCCTTCACAATTACGGCTGACAGCGGGAGTTTCACTACAACCTCAGCAGCCGGTTCCTTCTTTAAAAAGCAAAACCCAAAGTTTTCCATGCGTTTCATTTATCTTTAGATCGGACTGCTTCTCCGTCTTTGCTCTGCACAGTGATTCACGGCTGTGGGAGTTCGTCTGTCTTAAACGAGCTCACCTCGCTCCTTCCCTCCTCGCCTGCTGGTCGGTTTCCAGATTGTAACCATCGTCGCTTCTAACATGAGCAAAGGGCCAGAGAGGAGCCAAAACTCAGGGCGTTGCTCCATTTTTAATTAAATATTGGGTACCTTGTTAAGCAGATTCACAAATGGAAAAGGAAATGAAAGAACAAAAAATCCAACCATGTAGGTTCTTTTCTTGGAAGGAAAGCAATAGCCGGCTAAAAGAAGGGACCTCATGACTGGGAAATGTCAAACCTCATGTCCTGCAGGGTTGAAACAAATCAACCAGCGCGGACTACTGACTCATACGTTGTGTTGTTGTTTTTTAAAATCCCCCACATGACGACAAGTCCTTAAGGAGCCGCTGGGTGTTGCTGCCCTGTTCTCCTATGGCATGGATGGCGGCAACCATGTGGATGTGTTTCACCCCGGCACACGGAAAACACCGGCAAGAAGGCAGCAAGCCGAGTCGTTTGAGATGTGCGGTTACACTGGAGGACGTTCAGAAGTTTTTTCTGTGGTCTGTCTGCAATCCATTGCAAGGATCTTCCATAAGAGGCTTTTTACACGTCTCTGTGATGCAGCGAGAGTGCGTCTGTGCTGGAGCCTGGAACAAACTGGAAATGTTTCAGAGGTTTGTCTGAGGAAAACAAAGATGTGATCAGTTTGTGGCTGTTTGAAAGGTCGAGCACGAATACGATATCCTCAAAAAAAAAAGAGTGTAAATGTGCCGCTGTGTGTTTTCTATGAGCAGACCTGGCTCTGAACCCTCCTATTAAGCGTGCCGCTGATGGCGTGTTTGCCTCTTTATTAACACAAAGTATCTCTGGCTCTCGCTGCACTCTCTGCAAACATGTAGGTAAATAATCAGCCAATCGACTCCTATTTATTCAGATTAAATGGGGAGGAAGCTGCCTGATTGGAGGGCTTCCTGGGCAGTGATTTGTGCGCAGCCGGGCTCCAGGTCAATGCGATCTTTGTGGGAAGACGCCGGGCTTCTGCAATTACACACGAAACCGGATTGTTTGGCTTTCCTTGTATATACAAAAGAGACAAGGGGACAAAAGGGCGCTATTTTTATGAAAGCTTTATTTAACACTTTCAGGGATCAGAGGTCAGGGGTTACTGTTGGAAAACATTCCTGGAAGTGGTATAAGCAGGAAAAAGCAACATATATGTGGCTATTAAGGTGATTTATTATCAGGGGAAATCCTTCGACCTTACATTGCATGTTCACTTGAGGCCGGATTTTGAAATAAAGGCGAGCAGATACGCAGGTATGCTTCCGTCCTAAAACTGCACAGCTGCTGGGGAGCGTGAAACCGCAGAGCTTCGAGTGACTTTTCAGGTGCTTTTCAGGCAGGTAGAAACACAGAACAACAGTTAGCAGGGCTTTGATTTAATCCCATTCATCCACGCAACCTTGCAGCTTTAAGTGCTCGAGAACAGGATCAATGTGACACATGTGAACATGTTACAGAGAGCCGTTGGGATCCACTCTCCTTTTTCCTATTTTCTGCTGCTGGGTGTCAATAGACTTTTATTAATTGCTTTCACGTGATAGTGGGCCCAATCTGTACGTTTCTAAGCTTTATTTTGCTGCTTGTGATGCTGCTAAAAATACACGAGGAGCTGATGCTCGCTGAGTGTCTGGAGAGGCTTTCGGTTAGAAAATACGTCCTTGAATGTTTTAATAATCTGTGGTGAGATGATGGTGATGATAATGTTGGCAGCTTGCTTTGCTGTGAGGTGTCACCACCTGTCAGGAGCAAACTAAAAAAGCAGATGCCTTTCTTCTTCTCTCCCGTCATCTTCCCTTGCAGTCGACATCAACTCTGCGCTGCCCCTTCGTCTCCCGCCGGCCGCCATCCCCATGGATCTGCGCGTGGACCATCACCAGCAGCAGCAGCAGGTGTCCTCGCTCTCCCCGCCCGCCCAGCAGTCGCCCGGCCAGCCCGGCGGCGGCAGCGGTGGCGGCAGCGTGGTGGCGGCATCGGTGCACGAGCAGCAGCTGCAGGCTGAGCTGCTGGCCCTGAAACAGAAGCAGCAGATCCAGCGGCAGATCCTCATCGCAGAGTTCCAGAGGCAGCACGAGCAGCTGTCCCGCCAGCATGAGGCCCAGCTGCAGGAGCACATTCAGGTACGGCCGCGTGTTTGTCAATGAATGAAGTTCAAGTGCTGGAAAAAAAGGAGGCATTCAAAACAAATCTGAAAAATTTGGCCCACGTTTTCCAGAAATGGCACTAGCAGTCCTTAAAGCTGCAGTTTCACAGCAGCCAAAAGAAGAGCAGTTAAAGCTGTGACGGCCCGGCAGGATTATTTGGACGTGATTGCACAGTGATTCCACCAATCACAGCTAGTTCACCTGTGAGTCCGTCTGTGAACAAAGGAAGGGCTGCTAACAATGCTGGAAGAAAATGTTTTTCTAGACTTGACAAGGAACACGCTAAAATCCAGTAGGAGGCTTCCTGTGCCGCCTGTTCAGAACATTTCAACTTAAAAGCAGCGCGTTCACCCCTCCAACCCTGTTCTGATCCGGTTCGGAAATGATTGAAATCCACCCTCAGTAGTAGGCACGCTCCATGATTCAGGAGCTTGTAGACAAACCTTTTTTTTCTGCATGACTTTATCAGTCTGGGGGAATTTTTTCACAGTCTTAGTCTGTTTTAGTCTGCTTCCATTTACTGTGGGTTGCAGCCACTCGTTTATGCACAGCTCTTAATGTCTGACCGCAGTATTTCAGTCGGTTTGAGGTCTGGACTTTGACTTTTTCATTCTTTGTTTTGCAGATTTGTTGTTCAGTTCAGTTCAACTTTATTTATACAGGGCCGAATCACAACAAGAGTCGTAAAAGCGCTTTAGATAGGCACAACTTTCTAGAAGCAAATAATACACACAGCCTTATTTGTGTTGCATCACCTTTATCAAGTACTCCCACTCGAACTAGTTCACTTCAGTTTTATTTATATAGCACCAAATCACATGAGTCGCCTCGAGGCACTTTATAATGTAAAGTAAAGACAGAGAAACCCCAACAATCAGACCCTCCCCTATGAGCAACCACTTGGAGACGGTGGGGACGAAAAGCTCCCTTTTAACAGGAAGAAACCTCAGGCAGAATCAGACTAGTTGTGGTTGAGAGGAGACATGCTGTGGAAAAGAGCCAGAGATTAATCATAACTAATGACCAAATACAGAGAGGTGTATAAGCACAGGAACACTCAGTGCATCATGGGAAGCGTCCAGCAGCTTAGATCAATTGTAGGATAACTAAGGGAGGATTCAGGGTCACCTGATCCAGCCCTAACTATATGATTTATCATATCTGCCTCCTGAATCCAAACTGGGAGCTGGTTCCACAGATGGACCTGAAAGCTGCAGGCTCTGCCTCCCATTCTACTTTTAAATATTCAACACTTGGCTTTAAAAGCAGCAGAGTATTGAAAACAGACAGACAACAGCCTCTTCTGGTCCACAGCTCAACAGATCAGCATTAGACCTGGTCGCGGTCTTTCCAGAGGACTGCACACTAGGGCTGCCACAAACGATTATTTTGATAGTCGACTAGTCACCGATTATTTTTGCGATTAGTCGACTAATCAGATCATCATCCATTGGACGTAAAACTACAGCTTATTGCACCAGCAGCATCTGCTCTTATATAACCGTCATTAGCTTACAGCTTTAAGTGTTTAAGGTCTGTGCTAACTAAAAATAAAGACAAGATGATAGTTTATTCAATTTTAATGAAATTTGCAGATTGTTTTGGTGAAGTTTAATAAACTCCTTGCTTTCTAAAATATAACAGGACACTGGAGTATATTCTGGAGCATCTCACACTTCTGATAATCAGCTGTCTGCTTGATGTTTATTCAGCTGTGTAAAAACTATAACTTTAATCTCAGACAAACCGATTTACTCAGGAACAAATAAAATACTAAAAAAAAAGCCAAACAATAACATTTTAAGTTATCTAAGTGACTCATATATATTTAACCTGAGTAGCGAAAGACGGCGGTGGGTTTGAAAATGATTTGTGGGGAGTCCGGTGTTCTCACGGCGCTAGTTAGCCTAGCCCCCGGCTCGCTAACGAGCTAGTGGGTAACAGACGCCTCCGAAAACGTCGGAGCGCTTTTGAAAATATGTGGTGTCTTGATAAACTGAGCAGATATTTGAGGTTTACACAGCTACATTCTCGCCTGAAAATATGTTAAACGTTTATTTTGTGACCCAGAAAGAATAATAAGAGTAACATTAAAACTAACTAGCTGCCGCCATTGTTGGAAACTGCGCTGGGCCGCGCTATGAATTCTGGGACACAGCTGCTTCTTCTTCTTCTTCTTCGGGGTTTAACAGTAGCTGACATCCTTGTACATGCAATGCTGCCATCTTCTGTTTCAGTCCGTTATTACACTCTTAAATCCTGCCACTTATTCCTGCGTCTTTTGTGATCTTACAAAGCTTCAAACGACACGTCGACTATTAAATCAGTCGTCGACGATTTTGATAGTCGACGTAATCGTGACTAGTCGACAAATCGTGGCAGCTCTACTGCACACAAGCACATTTACGTAGGTTGCAGACTCTGGAGGCTCAGTTTAGATTAATACCTACCACTTTACCGTAAATTCACCGTAACATGGTTATTGGGTAACTGCTAATAGCTAAACGGCTAACATTAATGTGTTGACGTTTATTATAACTTTTAAATACATCAGCGTGGTTGAAACAGGAGCTTTACTGACCTGTTGAAATTCCTCAGAGTGATGTTCAGTGTTTTGAGGTATCGACACTGCTGCAAATGGGTAATCAAAGAAATTTGAGTTTTTTGTATCGATTGGTTACTAATTTTAAATTTGTCAGACTTCTGGTAAGCATCGGCTCTCTCCACGATCATTGTAAATGCGGCTAATAAGCCCTGAAGAGTGAAGCAGTAAAACTGTTAATATTTTTTTGTTGTTTTAAATACACAGGTTGTAATATTGTTGTTGTCAGCGAGGAACAAACGCTGTGTTGGACACTGATTTCACTTTAATTCTTCCATCAGTGTAAAAGCAGAGCAGCGGGCCTGTTACTCAAACCTATTTAAAACTGTCCTAAACAAAGCAAAGACAGACTTTGATGTAGTCTGCCGCGGGATTCTTCATTAGCAGACTAAACTCAGCCTGTGAGACCTTTAAATGCTGCGAGTGAAGAGGGAGCAGAGAACAAGGAGGCAGTCTGCCTTCATTTATTTTAACTCCAGAGATGGAGAAGAGCAATATGAGCATGTGGTTGAAGTCGGAAAATGTGCGAAAGACTTTTTTCCCCTGGTGTTACATAAGTTATGCACAAGCCCTGTTGTAGCCTTACTTTAAATATCCAGAAATATACGGTGTGCTCAGGGCGACGTGAAAAAGTGAAAAGTTCGGTTTGGTGTGAACGGCCCGGGCCGGACGCTTGGGGAACATAAACAGAGCTGCACAGCAGTGTGCGCTGGAGCTTGGATCACATGTCACAGTGACCTGGAAATACAAAGTGAATCTAGATCATCACGCCCACACGCCGAAGCTTTAATACATCAGCCCCCCACCCCCACCCCCGAGAGCGCCGGAGCGCTCCCGAGAGGCAGAAATGTCACATAAAGATATTCCAGTATTTGCTCTTTTTTAGAAGAATACTGCTGTAATATGAATTGTAATACACGCAGATACAGCTGAACTACTTATTATTTCAGGACTTAGAATAAATTGTCTAAAAATGGATTGTGGGGGCAGAAGATCAGATGGCGACGTGCAGGATTACATTAGTTTGAATGTCACATGCAAGTCTTTGCTCTCTTGATCTCTTGGTGCTCAGCTTCCCTCTTTACGAACCTTTTTATTTATTCTTTCCTTTTCTCGTTTCTTTCGAGCTTGTCTTGCCTTTGTCTTTTTGTGCTTCCTTCTTCCTTACTGGTTCTGCTTTTTTCCCCTTGCTCTTCCCGTCTCTAATTTTCTCCTTTCTTGTTCCTTCTCTCACTTCTTCCTTCTGTCTTCACATTTAAACTTTTCCCTCATTTGTTTGTGTGTCATCCGCTCCTCCTACTTTCTTCTGTCTCTTACTTTTGGTTTACATTTTTCTTCATTTAATTTTTTTTGTTTTTGTATTTCACTGTTTTTTTCCTCTTCCTGTAATTTCACTCTATTGTATCTTTTTCCTTTCTAGACGTTTAAAATGATCCATTCAGTCTTGTGATCATGGTCCTGTTGCACGACCCCGTTTGGGTCCAACCTTATCTGTTGGACAGATAATAATAATAATAATAATGGAGTGGATTTATATAGCGCTTTTCAAGGCACCCAAAGCGCTTTACAATGCCACTATTCATTCACTCTCACATTCACACACTGGTGGAGGCAGCTACGGTTGTAACCACAGCTGCCCTGGGGCAGACTGACAGAAGCAAGGCTGCCATATCGCGCCATCGGCCCCTCTGGCCAACACCAGTAGGCAAGTAGGGTAAAGTGTCTTGCCCAAGGACACAACGACCAGGACAGAGAGCCCGGGGATCAAACCGGCGACCTTCCGGTTACAGATGCGCTTCCCAACCCCCTGAGCCACGGTCGCCCACAATGACCTCACTTTGACTCTACTGTGGTATAGAGTGGATTTCATCATTGTATCGATGACTACAAGGTGCTGAGGCCAAATCGTGGCCCTTCACCACCATGCTTGACAGCTGGTATGATGTATTTGGTTGTTGTGCGTCATGGTCAAACTTTGGTCTCATCCAAAGGACATTGTTTCAGAAGTCTTGTGTTTTGTTCAGATGCAGCTTTGCAAACAGAAATTGTTCTTGTCCTGTTATTTTAAAGAAAAGAGATTTGCCCCTTGTTACCCTCCAACCTGTTCGGTCTTTTTCCAGCTGCACTGTCATGAACTTTAACATTTACCATTTTAACTGAAGCCTGCAGAGTCTGAGATGTAGCTCTTGGGTTTTTTGCAGCGTCTCCGAGCATTGCACGCACTGACCTTGAGGTGAATTTGGGGTGAATTGTCCACTCCTGGGAAGACTGGCAACTGTCTTGAATGTTTTGTACTTGTGAATAATCTTTCCCAGTGCAGAATAATGGACTTCAGATTGTTTGGAAATGACCTTACAATGCTTCCCAGACTGATGGGCAGCACGAGTTGCCTTTGTTTTTTCCTCCTTGGCATCGTGTTAACACACAACTGAATGCTCCAGACCAGCAACGCGTACATAAGATGTTCTGGAGGAGCGGGAATACGCACTTCTTTTGCGGTGGAGGAACACCAAAGTTTTCCGTCCTGTTTTGTCATTTTTGTGATGCCGAGGGATGAGCGAGGATATCTGAAGGTGCGTTTGAGTTGTGGCGGCGCGCAGATGGAGGAGAGTGACGCACAGACTGAGCAGTGAGGCCTGTCCTCAATCAGCTCCTGTGTGCACGCACGCACAGAAATCTACAGCCATTAAAACCTAAACATCCTCTTAAATGTCAGCAAGCACTCGAACACATGCCCACAGTAGCACATACTCGAGTACCCATAGCAGCAGGCGTACATACGCTGATTCACATGCTAACAACGGGGAACTCTCAGAAATTGAGACAGTCGGAAACTCTTCAGAGTATTTAGTCAAAAAGTGGCAACATTTTCTATAATAATAATAATAATGATAATAATGGATTGCATTTATATAGCGCTTTTCGGGGCCCTCAAAGCGCTGTGTACATCTCTGGCCTAGTGAGCCACAGGGGTTTGGGCTGTGTGAATGTGGGTGGCGAGGTTACTTTGAGCCTTGCCACCCACTCAATCCCTTATCCCCCAACCTCGATTGAAAGACCAAAAAAAGGAAAAAGGATTCAGGCGTCGGGCTGGAAGCCAGCCAGACAGCCGATGAGCTTTTCTCACGGGCCCCACCTCACCTTCCTCTCACCTTCAGCCGCTAATTTATTCACAGACCGGTCTCGAGCATTTGATTTACCCTGGCGGTAAACACGAGCGCATGTCCCGGCTACTGAGCGTTTATTTACACTTCTTAAAAAAATAAAAAGACGCCATCACGACCTGATTACATGCCGTTACAGTAAACTAATCAAATATTGCCACTGGTTTCACAATGATAAGGGAGAAAGGAGCCCAGGGTGTTGATTCCTTGGCACATCAGCGAGAGGTCATTATGTTGCTGGCGGAGTGCAGGCAGCTTGCCTATTTATTCCATATTACAAAGTGATTCGGAGGCTTGACTCTGTACTTTATGTTGTTGAAATTACGGCTGCGAAAAGGGTGAAAGTGAGCTTCAGCCTGCGTTTAATTTAATTGATGCTTTTATCCACAGTCAGGCTCTGGGTCTTAGGACACTCAAGTGGGATGAAGAGGTGTCTCCAAGCACAGGTTGGCTTTTACTGTGATTTTATTTTTGACCTTTTTGGTTTCAGCACAAGCCGTCAGGGCACAGGTGAGTTTGTTTCTGCGGTATAAAAGCACAGGGAAGGCAGATTTCAGAGCATTTAACAGATGCTCTTCTGTCTTTTTTCTGAGGAAGAAGCAGATTGGATTATGTGTTTTTTTACTAAAGCCTCATCCCCCTGTTAAATTGTTTATATTTATTTAAAGGCTTAAGCTTCTGGCCTGAGGTTTTTGGGGATTGTTTTTATAGAACTGCAAAGGTTTTATTTCTTTCCCCCTCCTTTTTTTTCTTTAAACAGCTGTCAGATGTATTTACTTCAGATGGCAACTCAAGCAAAGCAGAAATGGGACTACTCAACTTTTAAAGACGACCAAGTAATGAAATGGTTGCATTTTTAAGATCTTTGCAAAGTGATGGTATCTGATAAGGCGAGCAGGTTTAGTCCGTGAAGTGAGCCAGTAGCATCAGCGGATTTCTTTGGTGCAATAGATTTAGTATATTTAATTTAGGCATATAAAACTTCACCATCATGCTATGATTTTCTTTCCTTTAAGCTCCTGACGTTCTTAAAAGTCGTTCGAATTTGAGCACCCAGAATGTCCGGGATCACAGACGGTGATTGTTTTGTTTCCTGTTCAGATTCTTTTGCCATATGATGATGATGTCACATGTCATATGGACCATCCATTTGCTGTGACACTTGTGTTTAATACTCAGATCCACTGATCTGGAAGAGCCACTGTGATTCAGGCTCTTATGTGCGCTCAGATTGTGGGGAAATAAAACGTCTTCGGGACTTAAAGTTGTTCGATCGGTGCAAAAAGCGCGTCCAAAGAGCAAGTTAACACCATTTCACAGCCACAAGGTGAAAATATGACTATATAAGAAAGTAATCATGGATTGAAGGTGAGCCTAGGATCAAAATGTAGGTAAACAATGAGACCTTTCATATGCCGTGACCTGTTTTGATCAACCAACCAATCCTTCATGTTGACATGACCTTTAAAAATGAACCCCCAAAATTCCCTTCTTGAGGTTAAAGCCACAAATGAAACTTCTAAGGCACTAATGCTTGTTCCTGCTCCTCTGCATCATAGACATTAAATTGGTGCAGCTTTGCTACTGAAAATGTGATATATCCTGTCAAGTTGATGCAACAGAAATTGATTTTGGCTTCAGGTTGTGACATCTGGAGCTGAGTTTTAGGCCTGAAAATTGAATGTCTGTCTCTTGTTCTTACAGACGTGAGGGCTCAAAAATGCTTTCACCCACCTCAGAGTGTAAAACCTTTGCACTTCTTCATTAAATGCACTAATTGTATCATACATAAAAAATCAATGATGTGATTCTGAGGGGGTCACGTGGGAACTTTTTAAAAAACGGTTGATTTATGTGGAATGACCCAAGTGGTAATAGTTCTTCATATACAGTAGCCTACTGTATACTACCGACCCCAGCCAGTCGCAGCAGCTGGCCACATGGATCTGCTGGAAGTTTCTCCCTGTTAAAAGGGAGTTTTTCCTTCCTACTGTCACCAAAATGCTTGTTTACAGGCGGTCATCTGATTGTTGGAATTTTCTCTGCATTATTGTGGTCTTTGTCTTACAATATTAAGCACCTTGAGGTAACTGTCATTGTGATTTGTTGCTGTATAAATAAAATTGAATTGAGCTATTAGAAAAAGCGTATTTGTGAGTTTCACGTGGTCACTGGTAGGTAGCATAGCAACAGCAGTGACTGTAGTGAGACATGCTCACAAAAGTATGGGATGAGTTTGTTGTTTGGACATGTGTGGTGATTACGGAGAAGGAAACATAAAGCTCTTGTGAATATGGTAAATATTGTATATAACCTTGTAGTTTTCTGTGTTTTTGCATGCTCGTATTGTTGTTGACCTATTTATTCCTGCTGTGTTCACTCTGCTGCTCTAACAATGTGAATTTCCCAACTCTGTGACTAATAAAGCCTATCTTATCTCATCTCATGATATGTAGACAGATAGATGTGAGGGCTAATAAGGAACAGTTCCAAACTTCCGTGCAGGATACTTGGAATTATCTGCAATCAGTCGCCCGTTTGGTGAATATTTGCTAATGTGATTGTGGTCTTTCTTCGTGCAGCAGCAACAGGAGCTCCTGGCTTTGAAGCACCAGCAGGAGCTGCTGGAACATCAGAGGAAGATGGAGAACCACCGTCGGGAGCAGGAGCTGGAGAAGCAGCAGAGAGAACAGAAGCTGCTGCTGCTGAAGAACAAGGAGAGGGGCCAAGAAAGTAAGTTGAAGCAAGATGAGTGATACTGAGAGCGCTAGCAGTCAAACTGAATCTGAAGCCAAGCCTGCGCCCTGTAGCCAACTTTCCCAGTTTGAACAGCAAAACCATATGAAATCATATATTGAACCAGTATAACAGCAAATGTAACTTATTTATTTTCTCTCATCTTCAGTTCACACTTTGTCACCACTGGTGCCTCAGTATGTCACTATCTAAGCTGATCAAAGCTCCTACGAACCTGCAGTTGTCATACAGAATTCTCTACCACATCTATACTCACAACAGAATCTGCTGTGAATCTCTGTGGGTCGTACCCAGTAATGAATCTAATCTGGGTTTAACTAAAACATAACAGGAGCCAAGTTGTGCTTGTTGCTAACCACTGTTTGTGGGAGTCTTTCCTCTGAGTTTAATAAATACCTTCAGGTTTATAGGATCCATATGAGTGTCCCCAAAGAAAGAGACTTGCGTGCATTTATGTTTTCCATAAATACATACAGAACTTAACCTACTGGGATGCATCAACAGGATAACACTGGAAACAATAATTAGAGGTTGTCGTCCCCATATTAGTAGCTTACGTTATGAACAGCATTTGATTTCACACTCAGTTCAGTGTTACAGTTACAGCATATAATGTCGTGTGTAGGGTACCCACCACCACCACCACCACCACCACTACTGTGAGCTATTGTTTCCTGTCTATACAGTCAGGAAGCTTGGTAGCATCTGCCAGAGTTATCGAGAACTCTCTGTTCAAAAGGACCGTTGTGTTTGTGCGCTTCTGTGCGTGTGTGTTTGCATGTCTGTGTATTTCCATTTTACTTGGAGAACCTGTGTATTTACTGTGGTAAACGAGCTGTATTAGCCTTGGCTGGAGCTGGGCCGAGTTGTTACCGCTGCCTGCTGGATGTCTCTCAACAGTTCATTGAAAGCAAGTGGACAGGAGTCCTTGAGAGCCGTTTACACACTATATGGAAAATGGTTACAGATCGTGTGTGTGTGTGTGTGTGTGTGTGTGTGTGTGCGCGTGTGTGTGTGTGTGTGTGTGTGTGTGTGTGTGTGTGTGTGTGTGTGTGTGTGTGTGTGTGTGTGTGTGTGTGTGTCCAAAAGAGCAAGAGAGAGGACTGCAGTGTTTGCTCTCACGTGTATCTGCAAAGGTGCAGTTTGTGGTCTGTAAATTTCTTAGTTTGTAGCGTTTTTCTTTCTTACCACAGTTCTTTATCCAAGAAGTCTGTTTTTGCTGATTCACTGTAAGACGAGAGCATGGTTTTTTGATTGATTGGTTATTTTAGTAATTAATCCGCTGATTCTTTTCTCAACTGATTCTTTTCATTTTAAAAATCGGGAGATAGTCGCAGTTACTTAAAGCCCACTTTCGTATCTTTCTATTCAGCACCCCAGATTACACAGAAAACTGAGACAAACACTAATTTCTGCCTAAACGTCTGAGGAAGGTCAGACGTTCAAGTTTTACTGTTCAATGACTTCCAGTTGACGAGTTGATTTTAGCTTCCAGATGGGATTTATGCATAATAAGTTTAGAAAATACAAGACAACTGAACAAATTAGCCCTCTCCCTGTTAAAAGGGAGGTTTTACTTCCCACTGTTGCCAAGTCCTTGCTAATAGGGAGTCATCTGATTGTTGAATTTCCTCTGAAGATAAAGATGAGACTTTCTGGAAAGAAAACATTAATAAATCTTTGGTCCTGATTTTGACTTCTTTTCTTTATATGCTGGCAGTGATGTGGATGTTTTGTCTGAGTGGCAACAGCTTTCAGAATACTGGAGCAGGTATTCGTGCAATAAGTGGTGTTAAATGGTACAAAGCTGTGGCAATGTTTGATTCCCCCCTTAGCTTCTGGGGGCAGTGTCCTATATCTCAGGAGTCCAGACTCAGGAATCTGTAGTCAGTTGATATGTGTGCAAGTTTTGGTTTAAGATAAAAACTAAATCGCCGCCAAACGAACTCTAAACTTTTAACCTGCATGTAGTGATCGGTTATCCAAAATTACCTGATCTGAGGATTAGGAATAAGATCTCTCCTGTTGGAGGTCTTAGCTGGGATAGTCTAGTTACACTGTCTCATCTCATGCCTATAGATGTTACATATGAACATGCAGATATTGTTAGGGGAATTTAAACGGGGGGATTTAGTGGCAGAAACACACACGGGCACAGGATCGCGGTGAAGCAGATTTATTTACAGTGACAGGGGAATATTTACAAGGGAAGGGGCTATGTACAGTGGCCGGGAAAATGTGCGAGGAGACAGAGCCGAGGGGATGAAACGGAGCCGAGGTATGCGGGAGGATAGATGGCGCACCGGAGCTACCTGAGGACGAGCGACAAAACAGAGTTAGGGGATAACGTCGAGAGTAAAACTGAGGCGGACGGGGAGAGTTGGAGAGCTTACTTGAAACACTGAAATACAGGTATGGCAGTGGTCACAGGCCGGCGCGAGGTAAGTCTCTGTCACAGATCCAAAGAGGGCCAGCACACACAGGCAGGCGGCGAGACAGGCTGGTGCAGAGGGAAAGCAGGCAGGAGACGGATCTTAAAACATGCAGCTCAGTAGCGCGGAAGCAACAGATTAATCTTGCAAAAGCAGGTTACCACTTGTGGAAGCGACGATACTGCGACACCAGACGTCCGTTACTCAGCTCCATAAATGCTCCCACTGATGACGTCCGATACGCCGCCGGAATGCCATCAAGCACCGCCCCGCCTACCTGCGTCTCGAAAAGGGAAACAAAAACCCAGGAACAACAACACGCATGCCCACCAACTCCTAATAGATATGTGATTACAGAGATTAGCCATTTAAAACTGGAGTCCATCCATCCATCTTTCCTTCCACTAATCCAATTTAGGGTGGCAGGGGCGGCCTGGAGCCTATCTCAGCTGTCATAAAGCGAGAAGCAGGCTACTCCCTGGACAAGAGGCCAACATTCACGCCCGCATTCACATGTAGAATCACCAGTTAACCTAAAGCCATGCATGTCTTTGGACTGTGAGAGAACCAGAGTACTCACAGAGAATCCACACAAGTCGTGGATTCTAACCCAGGACTTGCTGTGAGGCAGCACTCTGCCACCCACAGTATTAAAAACCTAATGAAGACAGTATCTGCTTTGAAACATGTTACAGTGGAAGAGTGTAATAGGGTTCGTTTCACACTTAAGTGAAAAAGATCAAACTGATTATGAGAATTGTGATGAGACATCCAACTATCGCGTCAACCACCCATGGACACTTGGCCCTTTTCCGCGCAGTCTTCCTACAAGTTCAGTCGCGGTGGCTAACTTGTTATGGTAATTGCTCGTGATGTAGCGTACATTCAGCTGTAATGACTTTATCCGTGGCTTTCTCTTTCAGGCGCTGTGGCCAGCACCGAGGTGAAGATGCGTCTCCAGGAGTTCGTCCTGAATAAGAAGAAGGCACTGGCCCAGCGTAGCATCAACCAAGGAGGCCTCCCCAACGACTCTCCCTACTGGTACCGGTGAGGAGCATCTTTTGTGGTATTAGCTCAGCTAGTAATGCACATGATACACTCAACCAAAAAGTTTGTTTGACATCAAATCATTCTCCCTCCTGTCAGTGCGCGAGCCGCCGCTGATTCTTTGTAATGACTGTAAGCAGCAGAAGACTCCTGAACGCATCTGCAGGTCTTTCTAAGTGTAGGATGGTAATTCTGTCTCTGACAGCGGCTGAATAATGTATTGGATTGTATCTTAATCTGTCAGCGAGCTTCCTCTCCTCCACACCTGCCACACTGTGTGAGCCCGACTGAAAGATGGATCTAGCAGGGTTATGAAACAAAGATGGCAGCCCGCGCACACACACATATGCTCACACGCACACGTGATAGAGCTGCATATTGGAAGCTGATGATAGGGACCCTCACATTGAAGACTTGGCCTTGGATGGTTATTGTAGCATCTCGGGAGCCTTGTGCAGGTGTGCACACTTGCTGTTTCCTCTTTCTAGGTTTGGTGGCCTCCTGTCACATGTTTTTTATTGCCCGTCAGTGACATTGTAGACAGCGTGCTCAATGCAAGCTACAGAATTTAATATACAAACACACATCAGTTATATTTATATATAAATACTCCAATCACTGGACGCCAACTTTTCCTACTCGCAAGGAGTTTGCAGTCCTGGTTTGACTCTGTGTGAAGGAAATTGTATATTTTGTATGAAAATGTATATGCAGTTGACTTTTCTCTCTGTGTAAATAACTCAGAACTGTAGAATAAAAGCACAGCCCTTAAATTAATATTAGCGCTCACTACTGCTGACACAGGCCTGACATATATTCGCCTCTGTCAGTGCGCCCCAGGGTGGCTGTGGCTACAATGTAGCTGCCATCACCAGTGTGTGAATGTGTGTGTGAATGGGTGGATGACTGGATGTGTAAAGCGCTTTGGGGTCCTTAGGGACTAGTAAAGTACTATACAAATACAGGCCATTTACCATTTACCATATTTAGCTTTGAAGTTCAGCCCTGGATGTAGCACATCCGAATATTATTCCCTATGACTACATGCGTCTTTGTGCTACAACAAAAAAGGACTGAAACCACAAATTGCAAACGCAAAACCAAATAAATAACGTTACATAATCTTGATGTGTGACCCAGTGAAACACCCACAAGTGTTGACTTTCAACAGCTCAAAGTAACACAAAGTGTATCTTTCTATATCTGCCTGCTTCTCTCCTTTTCTACGCCTCTCTCTGTAATCTAAATTTCTCCACTCATTGGACTCAGTTTGGAAGAGACAAGTGTGTGCATCCGCTTGTCAGGAACATGCATTTGGGTCAAAGCCAACACGGCTTAACTTTGCCTGCAAACACCACCTTATTTTGCAGGCAGTGAACAGATGGCAGCACATTTCTTTGTTCTTGCCAAGGGATTTGCATGATGCTTTAATCATAAAGATCTATGACAGCCATGAAGTTCGTTACTTTGTCTGGATTACTCATTGAGTCACGTGTACAGTGAGTTATCGGTGTTTTGCCTTGTTGCACATGTTTTGTGATCTTGGTGGCCCCTTTAATACTGTGTGTGTGTGTGTGTGTGTGTGTGTGTGTGTGTGTGTGTGTGTGTGTGTGTGTGTGTGTGTGTGTTTTGCAGCAAAACCCAGCACAGCTCTTTGGACCAGAGCTCGCCTCCACAGACTGGCGTGTCCACCTACAACCACCCTGTGCTGGGCGTCTACAACCCCCGGGATGACTTCCCACTGCGAAAGACTGGTGCGGTCCCCACACACACACATACGCATGTGGATACACTTTGTTTTGGCAGTGCAGACTCATCTATTTGCTGCATGCACACATGAGAATTACACACACACACACACATTGAAAGTTTAATGTCCAGTAGCTGCCATGTAGACTCACATCTAGAATTATTTAGATGGCACTGAGCACTGCTCCATTAATCACATCCAGATTAGGCTGTCAGGGTCTCCCAGCATTCCCTACATGAGAGCAGTAGAGAGTGCAAGTGTAGGTAAGTGTAGTTCAGTACAGTGAGCACTAAGAAACATCAGCTTGACACTGATAGTTTGAATAGTAAAAAGTTACTGTTTTTTACCAAAATATGACAGCTATATTTACTGTTATTTCCTTTAATGTATTGGATATTTGAATATTAAGACTAACTGGCTTGAGGGCTGTGTTAGTAGTGAAGAACTCCAATTACCTTTGGAGTTCCCCAGGGCTCTGTTCTTGGTCCTCTTAAACTTCCACATTTCCACAGGTGCTTTTGCAGGTGTCTTTTCTTCAATGTTTAAAAAGCCACTCTCCCTTTACATAACAACATAGCTCAGTGAATTTGGGTGTGGTACTACTATAATGTGCCACCAAAGCAGCAAGTCAGTTGGTGAAATTTCAACTGCCTTACATCAAGTACAATGCCAAGCATAAAGCACACTACCAGTAAACTCTGGAGCAGTTTTAAAAAAAATAAACCTCTATTTAACCCGGAGAAAATAAACTCTTAAGTAGGGATGGGTATCATTTAGGTTTTATCCGATACCAGTGCCAAACTGGTACTTTAACGGTGCTCAAACTGGTGCTTAAAGAATGGAGAACACACAATTTGTCCTAAACCTCTCATGTTTAACTGTTTTCCACTTTTTCTTTGGTCATTTTAGCCTTTTTAGCCAGGGTGAAGGGAGTATCTGCCATCAAACAAGAAGACAGCCGCATGTAACTACGACGGTGTTTGCTAGTTCACCTTACATGCATTAATTTAATAACGTGGTTAGCCTACTCAACGTAAATTATACATGAACAACATTAAGCTACTCACGCAGAGAAGAACGGCTGCTGCTGCATCATCATCCTCATCATTTCTGCTACACTGGCAGGGCTAGGGGCCAGGATTCTCCTCTTTGGGTTCTTGGGGGATGTTGCTAACTCCGGGTCCGATAACAGGCACCACACCCGCAGTAGATGTGCTCGGTGTGAGGTCTCGCAGCAAGCTATCAAATACGGCGCATTTCTCGGCTTTTTAAAAAAACGCTATGCGTCGCCAGGTGTTTCATCGGATTCGAGGTGTTACCTCCTTTGACAGTATCACAGTATCAGCTTAAAGCACTTGTTGCTGCTGAGTTTGCATATTTTGCTGTGAAGTACAGCCAGACTTTGACAGCTTCGCCTTGGGCATTTTTAATCTGTAGCTCTGCTCTAAAAGAACGTACGTACCTGGGCCCGCCTACTACGCTCGCAAAGGTAAAATGATTGGCTAAAATCTAAAGTGTATCACATCTCAGGAAAAAAAAGCACTGAAATGTGCGCTGCTTTTCGGTCTGGTTACTACCGTTTATGTCAGAACCGGTGCCATCATGGCACCGGACACCGGTACCCATCTCTACTCTTAAGATTGAATCTCTTTTACAAGAGCATCCTGGCCAAGAAGGACAGCAGTACTATTATAAGTTGCATAAATTAACAGCACATACACATACAAAACAATACACCAGGTGAGTACAAGCTTTGAGAAGAGTTTGGGGAGGGTCCTTATTCTGTTCCCGCATGACTGTGATCCAGTACATAAAGTCCAAAAAAGGCATGGTTGGATGCATTTTGGTGAGTTTAACCCCGTTCAACACCTTTGGGATGAACTAGATCAAAAAATGTGAGTTCAGTATCAGTGTCTGACCTCACAAATGCTCTTCTGGATGAATGGGTAAAGATTTCCACAGATTTATTCCAGACTCTTGTAGAAATCCTTCCCAGAGGGGTGGAAGCTTTTGTAGCTGCACCATACTGATGCTTAGGGTTGTAGGATAGGATAGCATAAAAGCTTTAGTAAATTTAATGTGTAGGTGGCCAAATACCTTTTTCACATAGTGTATGTAAGATATGTACACACAAGCGCAGCATGCACTTCTTATTGTCCAGAAACTAAAACAGATTCACAGAGCTGAAAGTTTTGTTTCACATTCGGTGCTCATCATGTCAAAAAGAATTAAAGCAGTTAAAACTGCTGCACACACCACAGAAATAGATAAAAGTTTACTTGTGGTGCACAATCTGTCATTCTTTGGGTCTGCTGCTCAAACATCAGATGTCTTTAAAGCTTTAGCGAGTAAAACCAGCTGTGTTCAGCGTGCTTTTGTCAGGTGTGTGTGTATGTGTAGCTCTGTGTGGGTGTGCGAAGTGCGAGTGGTGTGTGCGGTGGTGTAGCCGTGAAGCAGCGGTCGTCTTACAGTGCAATTATTCACTTAGCCCAGTGGCAGGCCGCTCCAGCCCTGTTGACTCTGAGCCTGCAGGCTGCTGGCTACGACAACAGATAGACCACAGTTGACACTGGCCCACACAGCTGCATTCCACCCTGGGAGATCAGCAGAAGGAGAGGAAAGTGAGGGAGAAAGAGGCGAGTAACATGAAGGAAGAAAAGGAGATAATGAGTAGAAATGAGTGAAAACAGAAAAAGGAGAATGAAGAAGGTGCTTGCTAGCTTCGCTGATCATTTCCTTGAGAAAGATGATTAGAGCATAGAAAATGAGAGCTGGCATGCAGGATTTAAACTAAATCCAGCAAGTGCACGATGATTACACACTTAGCAAAATCTGCTTTATGTGCAGAATGGGAAAAAAAAAGAGAGAGAAAAACTGGAAGATTGCAGAGAGTGAAAAGATCGTCCCTGGAGTGTCAGCCCGTCCCTGGATTTCTATAAGGCTGAGGATTGTGCTCTGCTGCCGAGAGAGAGGGGAACCTGTGCCGCCCTGATATTTGCCCACAGCACTGACGTGCTTTGCGGGGTTTACTTATGGTAATGGCAGCTTGGTGGAGTTTAGAGGCTCTTTTATATCACCGCCAGGCCATAAAATAGAGGACTGGAACCCAGAACTCCCAGCAACGGCCGAAGGAAGCAACAACGCTCTTTTGTGCATCTCCCCGTCGTCCTTTTTACCATTTTACAGTGCAACGACAGAACAAGCCAAAAAGTTTGCTTTCTTTTTGAGTCCCGGCTGATTTGGTGACAACTGTGGTTACTTCTTGAACAGCGTGAGATTTTAGATTTAATGCAAGCAAATCTGTAAGCAGTAAAACGGACTCATTGTTTTCATGCTTTCCTTATGGCAGCAAGCAGCCTTTCACCTGTAATTCTTCGTCCATCAGTTCACTTTGACTACTTCTAATCTACACATAAGACTCTGCAGAATGTTACAGCATGGAACAAGTCCCAGAAATGTTTTAGCTTTTGGTGCACTTGTTCTCCATTGTACACTCAGTGTGTGGAGAGCAAAAAAGGAACCATATTTGCTGGAAATTGTATCTCAAAACCACCCAAATGTCATCAGGTGATGATTTTTTCTTTTTATACTTGTCCAACAACAGAACAGGAAGTCTACACCAGACGACATTTCAACTTATTAAAGGCCAAGCTGTGGGAAAGGTGCAAAGTTGTAACTAAACACATGGTTTAAGTTCTAAGCAAGCTAAAGGTGTAAAAGGTAGAAGAGTCAGGTGACACAAGGTGTTTCCTGAGGACCTTTTGTCCCAGAACATCAAGTGCATTCACTGTACCGTCCGTCTACAGAGGAGACGATGAACATGTACGTCTCATGCTGTCTTCAGAAATGCTGTGCACTTTCTTCCACATTCACTCTGTCGTTACAAAGAAACACGCTGGCACTGCTTCTTGGCCTGACCATCCCACTACAGTGTGGTATGGGCAGGTGACGCCTTTGTCACTGCAAAACCAACCGTGGTCGAGAACAGCTGCTTCCTGTTGCAAACTACAGAGGCATTTGCAAAGCCAGCTAATAGGGGATTTGAGTCTTTGACACTATTTCTGTATGCATTTAGGGGTGAAAGAGCACGACATGAACAATGCCCCTGTCTAGAACATGTTCTCACACACCAATAAAGATATGAGAGGGGAAAACAAAGTGAAGCCTTCTTGTCTTTTCACTGATGAGCGAGGCTGTTTTGTGGCCTCACTGGGCAGCATGTCCATGTGGAATACAAGAACGCATACAGTACATGCTGCTGCTTGATAACTGGACCGTATAAATCTCCCATATATACAAAGCAACATGCGGCTGTGGGGGCGTCACTCACTGAATGCTAGCTGGGCGCCCTGGTTAAGGCCCCGTTTAACAGGGCCACAATACACCATTTATGTAGCCATATCGCTCTGATTGCGTGTGCTCTTGCTTTTCACAGGCTTATAATACAACTTTCCGACTATCACTAGTCGGAGTTTGCAATTTTGAACAGCAAACTTAAAAAAATTAATTAATGTAAAATTAATTAGCCTGTTCTGTGCAATGATTGCCAAAATTAGAGAATGAAGATGGGTCCAAGAAACATGATAATGCAGCCTTAGATATAACCGATTCCCTTAACACCGCGTGTGTTTTTATGAGCACCACATTTGGTCTTGTTTTCTCTTTAGCCCTCAAAGAGCAGAGAAGACCTATTTTCACAGTTATTGACATTTTCGTCAATTCCCCTCGGCTTTGACTTTTAAAAATGTCTTTCCTCTTTCCTCTGCTAATAACGAAAGCAGAAATCTAATTACTCAAAGGGCCACTTGTTATCCTTCCTTCTTCTGTCGTGCCATTTCTTTGTTTTCCTTTCAGAAAATAAAATGCCTATTAGTATTTTCAAATTCTAAGAAAAACAAGATCTGTCATGAATCTTCAAAGATGTAAATGAAATGACGACTCAGGAGTTATTTCTGATTTGATGGATGCATTTATTCAAACTCTTTCTCCTCGAAAGGTCGTGCTCATTCAATATTGATCATGACAGAAGACATGTTTCTTTATACTTTGCTTTCAAGAAGATAGACTTTGTCTGAGGTTTTTTTTTAAGTGGTTATATCCAGTAGTTCCCCGGTGCCTACAGGTCTTTCAGAGTTTTTCTTGAGTGTCTTCAGCCATGTGAAAAACACGGCGGAGCCTCTGTCATGGTTTGTGACTGCATTTCAGTCAGTGGTGTTGGAGATCTTGTCAAAATTGATGAAATTATGAATACAGAAAAGTATAATCAGATTTTCATCCACTATGCAATAGAATCTGGCGTGTCCGATTGACACTGGCTTCAGTTTTCACCATGACATGCTCCTAAACACACTGCCAATGCGATTAAAGCAGCAGTCCCCAACCTTTGCGCCACGGACCGGTTTATGCCCGACAATATTTTCATGGACCGGCCTTTAAGGTGTCGCGGATAAATACAACAAAATAAAACTAGTACCGGTACCGAAAAAAAGATTTATTCATAACACACGTGAAAAGACCCAGGAAAACAGAGTTAACGATAAAAACGATGACAAAATAACGCTGAAAACCGATAAAAACCCTGAAAACCAAACATTTCACACCTGGGCCTCAACTCTCGCGGCCCGGTACCAAACGACTCCCGGACCAGTCCGAGGCCCGGGGGTTGGGGACCGCTGGATTAAAGCATACCTGGACAGAGACCAGTCATAGTTTGGCCTCCTCAAAGCCAGAAGCCCAGCATTACTGACACTTAAAAAAAGTTTTGAATGTCCTTGAAGAAGGACAAGCAAGGCAACCTTGCATAAAGAGTTCAGGCTGTTGAACATTAAAGCTTATCATACGAAATATTAACTTTCAAACTCGTCAGAATTGTGTAAATCGTGTTTTTAACCTTATACAGTTTTTCCATACATGTGACCAAAAGGGAGTAGATCAAGACTTTTGTACAGTACTGTAGATACTAGGGGTGCAACGATACTCGATATTGAACCGTTCGATACAGTGCTTTCGGTTCGGTACGCATATGTATCGAACAATACAAAAATTTTAATTTATTTTATCAACTTTTCTTCTGACGATGCTGTCTGTGTTGAGCGCTCAGTGGATCTGCGTTCGACTACTCCGCCTAGACTGAGCACAGCACAAGCTAGCAAGACAGAAGCTAAGCTCGTTGCAACATGGCAAATTGAACCTCCCCCACCCTCATTCAGATCTGGCCTTTGGAATTATTTTGGTTTTCATGTGACGTATGACCCTGAAGGTAAGCGCGTCATGGACTAAAGTAAAACAGTATGTTGGATGTGCCATGCAATGCTCAATTACATGGGTGGGAGCTAGTGCGTTAGCGCAGTTAGCTCGTTAATGTGTTGACGCCGTCCAGCCCCACGCACGGGGCGATCGGCGGTAGCTCTTTAACGGAGATTTGCCGTGTTGTGGCGTTAATGTCATTTCAGATTAACGCTGACAGCACTAGTGGGAACACAACGAATATGACTGCACATTTACTCCGACATCATCCTCGTGCAAAGACAAGTGGAAGCAGACAAAAACAACAAGCACGCATGCTACAAACTTTACCCGAGTCATTTAGACAGCCGTTAGCACAGGATTCTCCTTATGGGGACCTGATATGTTTAATATGCTGCTGAGAATATAGCCCAGAAGAAGCGTATAGTATAGCTTTTATTTTGAAAGAGCCATTTCTCTGTAATAAACTATTTTCCAAAGATGAGTGATTCCTCCATCAGATAGTTATTTTTTTTATTACTTTGTTGTTTCAGCAACATTAAATTTAAAAACTGTACTTTTGAGTTAAAATACATATTTATAATTTTAATAAATGACAAATTAAAAAAGCATGAACTTTTTTTGTATCGAAAAAATATCGAACCGTGAATTTTGTGTATTGTTGCACCCCTAGTAGATACAGTAGTTTTACTACTAGAACAAATATTAAAACAGAACATATCAGAATCTCTTGTTGTGCTTGGTGAAAAGTGATGAAATACACCGGAACATTCACAGCATTCAAAAAGTCAAAAGCCTTAATCAGCAGCCTTCATTTTGACCAAATATTGTATTTGTTATGACAAAGACCCTTTTTTTTGGGTTTGCTTAATTTAGATCTAAAATCTAAAGCAGAGTCACAGAGTTTTTATTGGATTTGTAGTAAATTGGCTTTGAAAACCACCTCCCCTCAACGTTAATTGGTTTGACTCCATCTGGACTGAGCTCTCCTTCCCACTTTGTGTTACTGTACCTTCACACCTCATATTTCACACTTGTGTCTTCTCCACACATTTATTTTTACTTGACACTGCAAACGGGAACAAGTTCATCTGTGATCGTTTCCCAAAAGGAACAGTTGCTCCGGTGATGGTAGCTTCTGGGTGCTTTTACCTATCCTGTCAGTCTTAAAAGAGATATAGTAGACGGTTAAACTGGTTATGTCATAATAAAGGTTAGAAGTGCCCTGTTTTTGATTTTATCTATCCTCTGATGACTGAAAATTGGATAATAAATAGAAAAATTATCCAAGGCTGCTGATTGGCAGGGTAAAATAAACCGAGCATTAGCCTTCATGGTCTGAGCCATGAAGGCTAATGAGGTGACATGCCGTTCCCTTCTGTCAGTATCCATTCACAAGTCCGTGACAGCGTACACAAAAGACCAAAAGACCTTTAGCCAGTCAGACACGGCTCCCAAATTGGAGCTAATTGCTTTTTAGCCACAACGTCTTTGGGAAAATCAGAATGTGGCTTGTTCGAAAGCATCTCAGTAGGCGGGGGGAATTGTACACTAAATGAATAGCAGCATGTAACAGTTTGTCCACCTAACAGGTTTCGTAACAGAGCCGCTCGGTAGAAGGTGCTCCCCCGGCTGATCAGTGTGTAGAGCTCCCAGTTTAAGCTGAAAGTCTGCGTGACTGTAGCTCAGGTAACTCTCACTTCCTGCCGATTGATTCATCCAAAGCTGCCAGTTATCTGTTTAACATCAAGGAGGTTTGACAGGGGTGCTGCTCCTCAGCTGGTGTTGGCAAGAAACCAAAATATCCCATTTACCAGAGGTGACAGAAGTGGAGGTTAGTGCTGCGGTGCAGTGATTTCCAACCAGGGCTGTGAGAACGTCAAGGGTTCACAGGGGGAACATGGAAAGATTAGTTTAATTATCGTGGTTAGCTAAAGAATTGAGCGAACCCGAAGAAGTTTGAGCAGAAAGTTGGCACTTATTGTATTGGACAGGAAGTGCAAAACAGCAGCCATGATGCTTTTTAAATATTTGATGCATTAGTTTCCAGACAATAAAATATAGAGAAGTCATTAAAAACATCTCATCTGCCTTCTTTCGATGTGGAGTAGTGGCTCCACGCTGACTAAAGCCGGGCCAATCTTCTTTCAGCATCTGAGCCCAACCTGAAGCTGCGCTCCCGGCTGAAGCAGAAGGTAAGCGAGCGTAGGAGCAGTCCGCTGCTGCGTCGCCGAGACAGTCCCATCACCAGCGCCAAGAAACGCTCGCTCGACATGGCAGGTAAGAGGCAAGCAAACGGCTCGCTCAGAGTTTCATTCCACACTGCTGCTGGTTTCTTGTGTGTTTGATTTGTGTGTCTGCGCGCGTTTCAGACTCGGCATGTAGCAGTGCACCCGGCTCGGGCCCAAGCTCTCCAAATAACAGCTCCAACAACATCCCTAATGAGAACGGCATCACTGTGTCAGTCTCCAACAACACGGAGGTAACGCACACGCATACATTTGCTGTTATAGATGCCATTTATCTTTCTGTTGTTGTTCTTGTAATTTTAGCATAAAACTTATTAAGCCTGATCTCTGAAATTGTAGCCTGGCTCCTTTGTGCCAGCGATGTGCTGCAGGTTCTCTTATTAGCTTTAAAACATTGCAGCCTGGAGTACGTATGAAGGCTGTGATTGAGGGATGTTCGGATTATTGTTCTGTGGACAAGGAGGCAGGCTGAGGAGCTGGCAAGATGCTATTTGTGGCAGCCATTAGGGGCACTCAGGCAGTGTGGAGGAGGCTTCTGTCCGTGACAGTTTTACATCAGCAGTGAGGGTGCAAATGTAGATCTTTCCCCGTGTGTGGACTTTTTCTTCTGTGTGCTGTTTGTTTTTTTTTGTTATCTGTGTGCAGGAGGTTTTTTCCCTTGATGCAAACACAGATAAATCATTTAAATGTGTTTTCCAGGCATCTTTGGCCCAGAGGCTGTGCAGCGGTGCTGATCGTGGCTCCGTTAGCCAGCTGTCCCTCTACACTTCCCCATCTTTACCCAACATCACCCTGGGGCTGCCAGCCACTGCCACGGCCACTGCTGCTTCTAATGTAAGGAGGAAACTTGACTGAACAGCTTGCAGACTGTGCATCTCTCTAACTGTGAATTTGTTTTGTTTAGAGTGCACTGTCTCCAACTATCTATTCAAATATGCTTGCACGCTCTTTTCCAGGTGACCTCAGCCCAACAGGATGGAGGCCTGCAGCCAGCCCTCTCCCTCAGCCCTCCATTCCTCTCCGGTGGCCACTTGACCCCCTACTTGGCCGAGGCTGGAGCAGGAACAGGCGGGCACGGTGCACACAGTCCCCTGCTCCAACACATGGTGCTCATGGAGCAGAGTCCAGCGCAGAGCCCCCTGGTGACAGGTAGGGGAAACAATTCAGCTTTTATTAAATACCTTAAAGCATAGACTATATATACATGAAAGATGGCGATAGCCACTGGTTTCCAAATTAGCTATTTTTTGCAATCACTATAGTGATCTGAAGGCCGACATGACCGCATCTGGATGAGAGGGTAGACCTCGGGTGTTACCTGAACCCTGGGGACAGCAAGCTGCCCCCGTTAGATAAACAGGCTTAAAACAACATATACTTAGAGGAGAAAACAGCTGCTTCCCTGGAGTGTCCTTTAAATAAAACTGAATATTGAACAAGAGTTAGTTAGTTATCACCCAACTGAGCTCATATCTTGAAGGTTCAAACTCATCTTGGTTTTTGGGGGGATAGACAAGAGGGTGTTGGTATTTACTGATGCTACCAAGGAGCATCCATAGACGCAGATACCTGCTAATGAGCGATAATGTGTAACTAAACATGCCACTGACATGTGGCACAATCAGCCATGTAATTTTCTGTTGCTTTTTGATTCATTAGTGACGGAGTCCATGTGCCTTACTGTTTTCAGAGGAATGTTTTTTTTGTTTAAGTTATTTAACACTGAACCATGAAACATTCAAGCATGTGTCTGCACAGACAAGTTAGCAAAGAGCAAGTTTTTAATTATATCTTTAAGGACTTTGCAAGTAGCAGCATGATTAGCTAAATATATAAAATTGTTTTGTTTTTTGCACCAACAAGTTAATTCCAAAGAGACATTAGCTGAAGACTTGGTGTCTTAGTGTGTTGTGCAGTGGGTCATAAAAAATTTGAGGAACCCGGACAGAGGTCGTCTAGGATGGATGTCAAAGAGCCGTTCTTAAGTAAGGGAAACACTGTCAGCATCAATGTTCCCTCTAAGCTGCTGCCACGTCTCTGCGCACAGAAAATCTGCATTGCGCACAAAAAAAATCTAACCTGAATTGAAATTAAAATAAATACGTTAACAATTCTGTTTTACAGTCTTAGTCAGTGACTGGCTGCTCCTGTATGGGATCAGAACGATGCCACCTTATCCCACAGTCCAGCCAATGATGCGATTCATTATTCGTTTAGCACAAATCTTGTGTAGTTAGTGTGTAGTCAGTGTGTAGTCAGTGTGTAGTTAGTGTGTAGTCAGTGTGTAGTCAGTGCGTAGTTAGTGTGTAGTCAGTGTGTAGTCAGTGTGTAGTCAGTGTGTAGTCAGTGTGTAGTCAGTGTGTAGTCAGTGTGTAGTGAGTGTGTAGTCAGTGCGTAGTCAGTGTGTAGTCAGTGCGTAGTCAGTGCGTAGTCAGTGCGTAGTCAGTGTGTAGTCAGTGTGTAGTGTAGTCAGTAGTGTTGTTGTGTGTCAGAACAATGAGGCGCCTGCTGAGTGTTACAGGTGTTACAGCAGTGACACATCTGCTGCTGTCAGGCCTGCAGGTATCAGGCTGTTGTTCTCCTTCATCTCATAGTGGACACAAATTATTTTTGGAGCGACACAAATAATTTGTGTGGCATCAGATTTGATGCAGAACAGCTGATTGTTCTGTAAATAGTTTGAAATGTTTGTTTAAAAAACACCTTGGCTGCATTTTTAGGTAAACAGCTGCAAAACTTTGTTGTTTGCAAAACTCAGTAACTTTTTGAAGAAGTAACTCTATAGTTACCGGTAATTGCCCAACATTGGTCATTATTTACTGTATTTGCAGACAGAGTTACAGACTCTCTCCCAGACAGATATATATATATATATATATATATATATATATATATATATTTTTTTTTTTTTTTACTTCCAATAGTGTTAACATGCTACAGGTCATGAACAAGATTATTTTTCTTTTCATTGTAAGTGGGCTAAAGCAGTTAATTAAAAGTAGTCTAACATAAATGCTGTAATTAGATTATTTTAATAAACATGTAACTTGGATCGGATGCTGGCGTGACCACAGTGCACACGTCTGCTGCTGCTCACAGTGGTCCAAGGGACGCTCAGAGAGTTTGTGTGTTCGCTCAGACACATGAAACATTAGAGGTAGGGCTGGGTATCGTCACTCATTTCTAGAATCGATTCAATCCACGATTCGATTTAATTCGATTCGATTTGAATCTGGGAAATTTTGACAGTCAGAAATATTATAATTCAGATCAGCACATTTACATATTTTTGTATCTATAAAAAGGAAGCTGACACACGCAAGACTTTATCAAAGGTGTGAGCGTCACAGCAGAGGCCTTTGTGTCAAAGTAGCTGAAGATAAAACACAGAAAAACATGAAGGTTTTCCTGGCCTGGATTTTATAAAAATAATCTGCAGTAGAGCTGGGCGATAGAACGATATGTATCGCGATATAACTTTTACTCGATAGAAAAATTAAGCTATCGCGATAGAGCTCGCCGCTCTTGTCCTCTTAAAAAAAAAAAAAAAAAAAAAAAAAAAAAAAGGTCAGCCAATCCAAATTAAGCAGCGCAGAGCCGAACCAATCACAGCCGCAGCGTCACGTCGCGTGACTTGTTACGTACAGCACAAGTGCCAAGCGTGTGTTTGTTTGGGAAGCAGCCAGCGGGTAATGGAGGAAATGAGTGCGCCGACTAGAAAAATCAACCGAGCGTGACCGAAGAGAAAACAGATGATGGTTCCAACGCCGGAGAGATTGTCGAACGGAAGAGCCATAGAAGCTCCGTAGTGTGAAGGTATTTCGGCTATTTCAAGTCTGACAAAAACAGAGTAGCTGCACTGTAAATTGTGCTGAAAGCAAGTCTGGAAATACAATAAACTGGTGCATGCGTCACACTGTGCGCCACGTTATTGTTTCGGTGAAATGAATTTCTACAATACTGTTAATTCTACTCTCTGCAGTGTTTAAATGCTTACATATACACACAGTTACTGTCCCTCCACACATACGACTCGGTTCTGCTTCTATGCCCCAGCTTTGTTTACTTTTTCCCACCGAGGCTTCTAGACTTCTGATTGGCCAACATTTCTGCACGGTTAGGAATCTAGCGCCACCTGCTGCTTTGGCATGTTCATAGCAGCGTTTTCCTTCATTTCTCCCTTTATGTGTGGACGAGATTATTTTTTAAAACGAAAACGGAAAATCTCCGTTTTCAAAAATACCCGTGTACGTGTGGACGTAGCCTCAGTCTCTGACTGGAAGCGCTAATTCGTCATTCGGCTTTTGTCAGACTAAAGTAACTGTTAAAACTGTTTGAAAAGCTCAGCTATACAACAAGGAGAGATTGAGAATTTCCTTTTAGTTCTCAGTTTATTTGATATTGACAAAAGTTAGTCAGTTTTGTCTGTTCTTCTGTAAAACAAACTAAGATTTATTTTTAGAATTAATATTTTGTTTCTAAGTGGAATTGACAATTTAGTCTGTTTTGTTTGTTCTATTTTGAAACTTAAACGCTTTAGCGGCTGCCTTTTGTGTAGTTTGTAATATTTGCCTTTATTTATCTGAAAAAGTCTCGTGTTCCTTAAGTACATCTACCCTGTTGAACTTATTATGGGAAATAAATATTTAAATAAAAACAAGCTGCTGATTATTTCACATTTTACTTGTGAGCAATGGCACATTTAAATCTTACAAATATAGTTATTTGGCTTATATTGTGATAGATATCGTTATCGCCTGAAATGAAAAAAACATATCGTGATATGAAAAATTCTCATATCGCCCAGCTCTAATCTGCAGTACATCAAAAAACGAAAGAAAACCATTAATCAACACATGAACATCACCTCTGAAGTTACAGCGGTTTTATTAGAGACACAGCGTTTTGCATTTTGCATAATTTTAAAAAGTTTAAATTTGTTCAGTATTGAACAGCAGAAATTAGGTTTTTTTTCGGAAGTATATAAAACGAAAAAAAAAAACGTTGGCCGACAGCGCTGTAAACTTGTGCGTAACAAGAAAGCGAATAACGAAGAAAACAGATTTTTAGACGGGAAACTGTTCGTGAAGTACAGAGAGAGAGAGCAAGCTGTGCATCGTGGTCGAAGCAAAACCGTAAAAGTCAGAGTGAATTCATGACGATGTTTATGTGAAGTGTAGTTTGGATCTTCTTTTGCTGCTGGTTCAGTCAGTATTGTTTGGAGAGAGATCAAACTAACAGCTTCAGAATCAGCGCAAAAAGGGCGGACCCGCCGACAGATCAGAGTCAGCGAGCTGTCGGCTTTCATCCCCGACTGTGAGAAAGGCGACATCTCACTGATTCTGATCCGCGGGTCGCGCTGTGTGTTTAAGTCTTTGTGCAGAATCCGTGTACCTGCTCTCATTTATTGTCTTAGCTGTTTGGTGGTTGTTGAAATTTTGTGATCTTTCACCTGAGATTCTGGCATTTCGGGCAAAATAAATTTATATTAAAAAATTGATTCAGGATTTTAATGAATCGATTTTACGTTATCCAAGCCAGAATCGATTTTAATCGATAAATCGATTATAAAAACCCACCCCTAACTAGAGGGAAATTTGGTCAGTATGTATGGTAGAGGTAAGGAGAGCGCTACAGCAGTGAATGTACAGGCATCTGTAAAACACGGTGGAGGCTCTGTCATGATTTGGAGCTGCATTTCAGCCAGTGATGTTGGAAATCTTGGAAAAATTGATGGATCCCTCAGAGCCCGACATTATTGAAACAGTGTGGGATCATCCTGACAGAGAACAAAAGGCAGCCTAATCCGAAGAAGAGCTTTGAATGTCCTTCAGGAAGCCTGGAGAACTGTCCCTGAAGACTGCTTAAAGAAATTACCGAAAGCTCCCTAAGAGAGTCCAGGCTGTGTTGAAGAATAAAGTTGGGCCATACCAAATATTGACTTTCAGGCTTGTTAGAATTGTACAAACTCTGTTTTTACGCCTTTTTTTTTGTATTTCCATTTATTTTCCGTTTTCCTAGCAAAATATAAAGAAATGAAGGACAGCTGAAGACTTTTCCACAGTGCTGTATAACAGTTCAACCTGTGTAGTTGTCACAGATGCTAAAATTGGCTGTAGATATCCAAAATATCTATAAAGATGTTATTTTTGCTCTAAAGTTGGACATTTTAATAGTGCAGTTAATGGAGAATTTTTAGAGTTAGAGTTTTAGAGTTAACACTTTTAGAGTTGGTCTCAAGTGGCCATTAGAGGAACTGCAGTTTTTGGTACTTACTGCTTCGTTTTACAGCCTCAGCTTGATTAAATGTTAAATAAATAGCAGCAGTAGCTGAGAAAAAGCAACAAAAGAATCAAATGCAACGTAAACAAAAAGTAAAAATATTCATTTTTGCTCCTGCAGCCATCTGGTTTCACACGCACACATATGCACACACACATGCATACACACACATGCACGCATACACACACATGCACGCACACACACGCATGGACGTGCAGAAAAATAAAACCATCATCGCTGTGTGCCCCCTCACACTGACAGACGTCCATTCATTAGCTCGACCTAATGAGCTCCTTTCATATGTCAGCATATGCTGTCTGAGTATGACATGGGTCCATTGTGTGCCCTTTCTCATCGGCTCATTCACTCACTACCACACTGCGTCTATTTTCAGTGGGGCATTAGCAGTGAATGAGCAGTGACGCAGATACAGACGCACGTATGAGAATGCGTGTATTCTTGTCCAAAAACGTACAGACAAGGACGTATCAATGCCCACGCACAGGCCAAGAGCTGGAGAGTGTGAATCGTTACGTGCAGCAACAAGCTACTTATCAGAAAGACGCACTTTTAACCATGAAAACTTAACACTAACTCTTGTGTTACATGTCAGCTCCTCCCCGGCTCCTTCTCTTTAAGTTATCGGTTTGAAAGCACAGCGATGTGGTGCCTCTGAGGCTCCGCGTCTGCTTTCTTACTTTTTCTCAGTGCTGCGACACTCCGCAAGCTGATCTGAGCTGCTGAGATGATCTCGTGTCACTACAATGGGAGATTCACAGTATTGCAGCACAGATGGTTGTTTTTATTCGGTTCGCAAATACATCTGCTAACTAATCCGAGGTCCAACGACAACATTAGGAACACATCATATTTATCTAGAATATGAGCGCTCTCATCAGTGCGGTTTATACCAAGAGTTCGGGATTTTCCTCAGGTGTTTTCGCTCCAGTCTGGGAAGTCTTAACCGAGACTCCTGTGAGCTGTAATCGAAGCCAGCTGGACTTTACCTGCTTCCCCGCCCCTCTGCTTAGACGTGAACCTGTTCGTGATTCGATTGTTTAGATTCTCGCTTCTGATTTTTAATTTGGAAAAACAGGGTCGCCACTCTGGAAATGCTGTCATATTTCCCCTGAGCTAACCGCCAGAATAGACTGCACACTCAAGTAACCATGAATCATTATGACACCTAGTCTAAATAGTCGCTCCGGTGCTCAGAGCCACTTTAAGACATGTCATTGACAAAACACTGCTTCAGCACATTTTCCTAAAAAGCTGCACGAAACTGAAGCGACGTTGTAAGATAATGCATCAAGCGCAGGGCCCGGATTGGCCTGAAACAATGCTGCTGCTGTTACTGAGAAATCAAGTGCCTTGCCAGACTACTTTGAAACAATGCTTTGGTATCTGCTCTGCCTTATGTAGTAACGTCTGCCTTGTTTGTGTCTTAGGTGTAAGCGGCCTGTCTATGTCGTCAGCAGCGTCCATGACCAAACTGCAGCGGCAACACCGGCCCCTGGGGAGGACCCAGTCGGCCCCGCTGCCCCAGGGGACCGCGGCCCAGGCTCATGCGCAGGCCCTGGCACTGCAGCAGCTGGTGGTCCAACAGCAGCACCAGCAGTTCCTGGAGAAGCACAAGCAGCAGTTCCAGCAGCAGCAGCTCCACCTAAACAAGGTATTCAATTTTGGTTTGAATTCAACTTGTGATTTGTTTTAAAGGCAGCTTGTCTCCGGGCGCGTTTGAATGCAAAGTGGTGCCGTTTTGTTGAATCATGCATCCATGTTGCTTTATAACATGTCGTCTCAGGCAGGGGGTTCGAGTGGCCAGAAATCTGATATCACGTTCACATAAACTGATAATTAATGGAGGCTATGAGTCTCAGAGGGCCAGCTCTGGAGCTGTAGTGTAGTAGTTTGCGTAGGCAGCACCGGGCTACACAGCCAATAATGTGTTAGCTTTGGCTGTGTGTGAAGTTGTTGACTTTCCTCTGCCCTCTCTTTCTCTCTCTGTAGTATTTTTGTTTGTGAGTAGGTGGAGGCAGGTATGGGTTAACATGTATAGCTGTGTGTGTCTGTGTGTGTGTGAATGCTTGCATCCACGTCTCTGCGACTGTGGCCGAGACAGTTGCCACGGGCTGCGAGGTAACCATGCACTGCCATGGCAACCGCGCCGGAAGCCTCTGCCATATATGGGCATGGAGGAAGAGAGCAGCTGCCGCTTTACCTATTCAAGAAGGGTACGTGCTGGAGGAGAGGTGGGTGGATGAAACAAGGGATTTCCTCTCCTCCTCCTCCACCTCCCCCGCACTGCTCTGCTCCATCTCACTCCCTTCATATGTTTCAGAGATCTCAAGTGGCAGATTTTTACACAAACACCTTTCTCAACAGCCTCTGGCACGCTAAGGACGGCTTTCTGCTTGTTTTTGCCAGGACAAAAAGAAGAAAGAAAATCTCTATTTTAGCATGTTATTCTGTCAAATTAATACAAGAGGGGATAAAAGAGCTGGTTTTGTTCCTTTAAATATCTACTGTGAATGTAGATATAGATAAGATTTACTCTTTTTTTTTACATCTGACAAGTTGATCTAAACTCGAGTCCTTTTGGTTTCAAACTCTTATACTAGGAGATCTCTGACATGTAAAGGAAAAGGTCAGCAACAGTTTTTTATGTGTCCCAGAGTTGGATGAGAAGGTTGATTACTGTTATGCGTGCAGCTTACAGCCGGTCCAGCTCTGTCCTGATGTAGCAAAACCTGCCTACCAGCACCTCTAAACATCACTGCTACCTCATTTTTAAAATGTGTGCAAATAGCTTTGTTTTTGAAAAGCTATGATCCAGATTAGTCTTTGCCTTCCTTGCATTCTGTCACCACGTCTTTTGCACTGTTCCTCTAAAATTTGTCCTCATCTACTTACGTGCATTAGGCACAACATCATTTTTTGACATGAACATTCATGAAATGTGTCATTTTTGTTAGGTTTGTGCATTTTTTTAAGCATTACGAAAGTGTCAGCTTCAGCTCAATTACATCCTCACTTGAAGACCGGTGCTACGGTTAGGGTAACCAGATCCTAGCAAACCAAAGAGATTATTAATGTAGGGCACAGCCTTCAGTATTATGGTAGTGAAAAAGTTTGATTTAATGTATCGCTACTTTTTAAAATGACACACAGCAGTACGGTGGCTCTGAGAGGTCATACACACTGTAACTTAAAATATCAGCAAATAGAAAAATTGCGCAAAAGGACACTAAACACAGTGGATTTTGAATAAAATACAACAGAAGTAGAAAAAAAGCAAAATCACAGAAAAGTGTTTTTGGGCAGACAGTTTGACGAGCTAATAGCAAACATGTATCTCTAGTATTACGTTAAAATGGTTATCATTTCAGGTGTTTTCTTTATTAATGGATACAATAGAATGAATATATGATCAAGTTAGGTTTCCTGTTAGCCAAATTTTGGTTGCTCTTGTTGGTTTGCTAGTGAAAACCTTTAATAGCATTAGCTAACTACTTGGCTAACGCTAATGCTGAGTGCATTTCATTAAATGTAACATTTTACATTTTAATTCTGTAATACAATTACATGGAAAATGCCATGTAGTCAAATTAGCTAAAGCCAGCATTTCAGCCATAAATATGTTTGAGTGTAGGTTGCCTTTAGCATGTGTCATTCCCTTTATTTAAATGACACTTTTTCAAAGCATACAAAGAGAATAAAAAAGATGCTTATGAGGGCTTAAACTACACTACTGATGCATTATTAACTATATGAACTGAGGGTGAGCTAAAAGGCCGAGTGATACAGTTTGACTCTCCCACACATTGTAAGTGTTCATATAACTGTAATCCATTCTTATTTTAAATAGAATTACACTCAGTGGTTCCTGCTTTTGCACTTTAGGTGACACTTCATATTTTTTCTCAAGCAACCGTTATGAACATGGCAGTACTGTAAAACAAACACCACATTTAAGATATTCAAACTTCTCTTTTAGCACCACATATTGAAGTATAACCATATACCTAAAAGTCATTATTCGCTTAAAGTTCATAAAGCCATCCTGCTAACACCAATTCAGTTACTGCACTTTAAAATGCACAAAATGTAAAGAGAATACATAAAAAACTGAAACGAGTCAGGAGGAAACAGGAACAAAAATCGGATCTTTTCAGTTTTGTGCAACACTGCAACAAAAGCAGGTATGCCCACACACGCTGTGCACTTAAGCACCCTGGAAAGAGGCTGGCTGAAACTCAAGAACTGCACTGGTTTAGCATTACAATCTAGCACCACGCTGGAAACAGCACAAACAGTCAATTCTATAGCCTCAAAGTTCATCTTACCTTAGATGTTCTTCTTCACTTTGTACTTTTTTGTGTGAGCATGCAGATTCCAACACGGCCTTCCCCTGGAGTGCATAGGTGTACAACTTCTTACAACTGTATCCAAAGTTCCTCTCGACTTGAGTTTCACACTTTATGAGTTGTGCAGAGCGCCGTAGTGTAGCTGGTTTACATATTTGGTGGTTTAACAAGCGAAAGATCCCGAGTTCATCCCAGGAGGAGACAGAAATCCCTTTGGGGTTATGTCAGGAAAGGCAATGGAAAACAAAAAAATTAAAAACATGTAGCACCACCTGTTGTGGTGCAACCCGTTGTTAATAAGGAGCACACCGGCTCTGTTGGTCAGCCCAAAAAGGAAAAACTCTACAAAGGCACTTGTAACAGGAATTTCAGAAGAGAAAACATCCAACGGCAGCCATACTTGGTGTCTTTCTGCCTTGAAGAAAGGTTGCCCAGATTCTTCTAGCCACAGTTTCCTGCAAGTGTGGATCCGTTACATGGTATTCTTTATACAAGTCATCCATGTCCAACTTTCCCCTGATATATAGTACCTCAGCTGGATCAGAGAAATGGAAGAACCTAAATGTAAACATGCTTCTATTAGTTGCTGTCTGAGAAGCCATACCATTTTACAACAGACGTGCGCACAGTTTGTGTAGCTCGAACAAATAAAAGCAGCGTTTAATTTGGCTAAATAGCAGAATAATGCTAAAGATCAAACCACACACAAAAAGCAAGATGGCCTGGATCACATATCAAAATTAGTTTAGTAAGAAACATAACTATAGTCAGAAGAATTCGGCATGAGCCCCCGCATCCTCAGGACCTTCTATCACTGTGCCATTGAGAGCATCCTCACTGGATGCATCACCACCTGGTATGGCAACAGCACCGCCTACAACTGCAAAGCTCTCCAGCGAGTAGTGCGGTGCTCTGAACGGATAATTGGAGGTGAGCTTCCCTCCCTCCAAGACATCTACAGGAAGCGGTGCCTGAGGAAAGCGGGGAGGATCATCAAGGACTCCAGTCCCCCCAGCCATAAACTGTTCAGACTGCTTCCATCAGGAAGGAGGTTCTGCAGCATCCGGTCCCGTACCAGCAGACTGAGAGACAGCTTCTTCCACCAGGCCATCAGACTGCTGAACACGTCATAGACACCTCAGCTTCACTACTGGAACTTCAACATTATGCACTCCACACTGTATATAAATGCCACTTGTTTTGCACATATTCAACTCTGTATATTTTATATATTTTATTATTATTATTATTATTATTATTATTATTTTATTTTATTTTTTTACTATTTAATTTGTAAAAATGTGTATACACACACACACACACACACACACACACACACGTAGGAAAATATTTAGTATACACATCCAGAAATGCATATACTATTATATATTGTACATATATTTATTAGTTTCAGGTTGGCCATTCTTGTATTTTGCTCGTTTGTGTTGTTGTGTTTGCACATCTCTGTTGCTTGTGGGGCTCGCACACAAGAATTTCACTCGCATGTGCTGTGCCACTGTGCCTGCACATGTGATGTGACAATAAAAAGTGATTTGATTTGATTTGATTTGAAGAAGGTTTTCTAGTGACGATATGGTTTTGGCTTGGGACGACCCCACACTCCTGTGCACATAGGTGGAAACCCTAAGACAGGAAGAGCAGGTATCTGTGAGAGAAGATGTCGTCATGTTTCTGAACTTCAGATAAAATATCTGTGTTAGCAAAAGCTTCAAAACTATCATGGTCCCAAGGTCTTGACACAGAGTTGGGGTTTTTTGTGGGGATTATCGCTCACAGTGTTTTGAGTTTGTCTCCTTGTTGGGTTTGTTGTGTTTGCACTCTTGGGTTTTCTCCTTCACTGTGTTCCTTAAAGGGAAGCCTCATTACCTTGTGTATTTATTGCCTTTTGTGGTGTCGTCCACCGTCTTCCTTCTTTTCTTTCTTCAGTAATCCGACATACAGGAGTGTTTGCATACATATACACAGAATAGTTTGAACTAGCGAGACCGTACCTACCTCTTGACAGTACCACGGTACTGCTTCTGGACGGGTGTTGAAACAGTGATGAAGTAGAGCCCAGAGGAGTAAACATTGTTTATCTGTCAAAATTTAGTAAGTAAAATAATAATATTTGATGGATGATTTCTTCTCTGATTGGCTCCAGTCAAACTTTTAGCTAATAAATCTGATTGTGATTGTGAGCTGCTAACCTCCGGATTACCTTTCATCTCACCGCACTGAACGTCTCAACAACTTTAAAGTTAAGGGAAATATTTTCATCCTAAGTTTGTTTATTAAAAAATGGCAATTTTATAAAAGTTACACATGCCATTTTCCCCCGTTTTCCTGTTATACCTGGGAGAGACCACTAGCCTCTGTAATGTAGGGGAGAAAGTGTCAGGTAAAATACGGACTACCGTATTCTACTAATTATGTAACTGATATGATAAAGAAATATATCTGTTTCGATAATATATGGTTTCAACATCGAACAGTTCTGGTGTCATTTGGCTCTTGAATGGGCACCAAGCTGTACATGAGTATACTGTATGCTCATTGGATAATCCAGCCCAGATAACAACATAGGCCAGTCAAGAACAAGTGTATGATTGCCTAACTCCAAAGTAAAAGATGTTAAAAACAACACAAAGGAGCAGCTGGAGCTGGATGTGGGTTGCAAAGTGGCTTGCAGTTGCAGCAGAGACTATAGACAAGCTAAAGCAACTTGAATACTGGGCCCTGTATATGAACACAGGTATTACCTGAGTGTAGATTTTGTGGTCTAACATTATGCTCATTTAATAATTAGTCACATATAAATGTAATCAGTTAATTACTGCTATAGACAAACAGCCAGTTTACCAGTGTAAATTTATTTATTTATTTATTAACCTTTATTTAACCAGGAAGTGTCAGATTAGTGTCAGATTAGCACCAAGTTTAATAAAAACAGAACGTTTCCTGTCTTTTATCTTTATGTCTGCTTTAACTTGGCTGCTAATGAAATGAAGGGCATCAGTTTGAAGCAGATAGGCAGGAGGATTCTGGGAAAGTGGAGCGGGGGGGTCAGAGGTCAGAGCAGGACCTGAAAAATGGGGGTAAAGAAACGTCTGTTTGGATGCAAAGAAGACGAGAACAGTAACACGGAGGAGGAGGAGGAGGAGGAGGTTGAAAGGGAGTTGGTGAATGCTCTGACGTCAAGGCTGTCCCCTGGCACTGAGCCAAGGGGACCCAGAGGCTCGCAGCTCTGGGAGCGCACAGACACAGACACACACACACACACACACACACACACACACACGAACACACACAGACACACGCACACACACACACACACGCACGCACACACACACACGCACGCACACACACAGTGACACACGCACACACACACACACACACACACACACACACACACACAGACACACACAGACACACACGCACACACACACACACACACACACACACACACACACGCACACACACACACACACACACACACAACTACACACACCTGTAAATGTAGCTCACTCTTGAGACTTCCAGCAAACACTTCTTTCTCTCAGCCTTCATATCGTAAACTCTGTGGAGGCGAGTACTCTCGGGCCCTTTTAGCGGTTCGTGTCAGTAAAAGTGAATGAAGAGACAACTGAGTCACCGCTCGGTTAACGGGGGGCCCAGAATGAGTCGACTGTAAAGAGACGCGACGGGGAGCGGGGAATGTCTCTGTTCTGCGAGACACATTTTGCCCCGGAGTACAGTCGGGAGAGCGGCTACTCACATTCAATTAGAAAGGATAGGTTTGAAATGAGCAAGACACCAATCTGGCTGAGTAATCCAAATTAAGCTTGTTAAAAGAAGAATGCTCGAGAGGAAAGAGCGCTCTGCCAGGAATTTGTTTCAGAGGAGAGCGTGCCCGTTTGCCTTGAATGCAGCCTCACACGTTGGATTTGTCGCATCCCGCTGTTCGATTGTGAAATAAATTTCACGTCACGGCATCATCGCCCTCACTCCCCTTTCTGTGTCTCCCTCTCTCTCTCTGCCTGCGCCGTGTCCCGCAGATGATGGCCAAGCCCAGCGAGTCGCCTATGGGCCGTCAGCACCAGAGCCACCCCGAGGAGACAGAGGAGGAGCTGAGGGAGCACCAGGACGGAGGAGGCCTGCCGCACGGGGTCACCATCAAGCAGGAGCCCCCCGACCCCCAGGAGCTGCAGGAGGAGGTGCTGCAGCAGCAGCACAGGGAGAGGGAGAGGCAGGCTGAGCAGGAGCTCCTCTTCAGACAGGTAAAAGATGAGGAGTTAACTTTTAGAGCACCTGATTGGCTTAGATAGGTTGTAGGTGTTCCTGGGGAAGTCCTGGAGTGTGGCGGGGGGTGGTTTGAAAGAAATGGCACAGCGTTCATGAGATTAAGAAGCAAAAGGGACGATCAAAGCCAGATTATTTGTTTTGGCTGCCACCTTTTGGCCACAAGTTGCGCTTGCAGTAAAAAAAAGCATCAAAGAGTTTTATTATCTAAACATTTTCCAGAATTCCCATCCTTTATTTTTCACTTTTGTGCGTGCGAGCAGCAGGCCCTGCTGTTGGAGCAGCAGCGGATTCACCAACTGAGAAACTACCAGGCCTCCATGGAAGCTGCCGGCCTCTCTATCTCCTTCCCGGGACACCGCCCCCTGTCCAGGGCCCAGTCATCTCCGGCCTCCGCTTCCTCCTTCCCGATCAGCGTCCCCACGCCCGATCCTCCAGTCAAGCCTCGCTTTACCACAGGTCAGCATCGCCCTCCTCTCCTCCCACTGAAGCATCACGTACTGTGTGTGTGCTCGTTTGCTTACACGTTAACTCAAATCTACAATCGCCGTAAAGCAACCAGTAGGATTCATCGGCAGTTTAGCCGCCTCCCTGTGAGTTTAATTTCCATCTTAATGCACTCGGGACTGGAAAGAAAAAAAAATCACCCAGAAATCAGGTGAATTGGCCAGAAAACGTTGGGCTAGTTCCAGCCTCCATCTGGTAGCAGAAATAGACGAGCTGGATCAGTGAATCTTGCCAAAATCTTTGTCTCTCCCACTCTGTTGTTTCACTCGTTGAGGAGAAACCTCGTTTTTTTTTTTTTTTTTAAATCTCCTCCCAGCCGCTTCAGCGTGTCTTTTAGGAAGCGCACTTTTGTGACAGTTCTTGCATGCGAGCACCACAGCTGAAGATATTTTTAGTTTGGCCTACTTTGCTCTGATTCAGTTCCAAACTACAGAAAAATGTGCAGGAAAAGCACAGCTCAACAGCGAATATCAAACAAGGATCTGATGCCTCAGCTTTTCAAAATAAAAGAGTAAGGCGTTCATCTAGACCGCTATTGTGTAGATTAACAAAAATGAAGGTGGTATTTCACAATCAGTGTGTACGAGCATTTGAACGAGTGTAGTGAATGTTTCCATGTGTTTCCAAGGCCTCGTGTATGACTCCCTGATGCAGAAGCATCAGTGCATGTGCGGCAACACCAACAGCCACCCGGAGCATGCGGGACGCATTCAGAGCATCTGGTCCCGACTGCAAGAGACTGGACTCAGAGCTCAGTGTGAGGTAGGCTTGCAAAAAATGTAGATATCCAGCATCCACCAGCCGTCGCACAAAGTAGTGAACCGCTTATGTGAGCTGAATCCATCTGTGTGTCTGTCTGTGTGTAGTGCATCCGTGGGAGGAAGGCCACTCTGGAAGAGCTGCAGACAGTTCACTCTGAAGCCCACGTCCTGCTGTATGGAACCAACCCACTCCGACAGAAACTTGATTGTAAGCCTTTATACACACACACACACACACACACTCTCACACTCTCACACACACACACACACACACACACACACACACTCTCACACACACACACACACTCAGCTGCTGATAATGTCAAATTGAATCTTTGTTTCCTGCGACAGGTTCAATCACTCCTATGTTTGTTCGGCTCCCGTGTGGAGGGGTGGGGGTAAGTAATGCTTGTTTGCTTTGTTTAAAAGGGGCTAAAACAGCTCACACTTCCTGCACTATTCAACATCGGTTTCCAAGCCAGTTTATCAACATGAGACTCGGTTTTCTGGTCTTAGGTGGACAGCGACACCATTTGGAATGAGGTCCACTCCTCCAGCGCGGCTCGCCTCGCCGTCGGCTCGGTGGTAGAGCTTGTTTTTAAAGTTGCTACTGGAGAGCTAAAGGTAACCTTGATTACACCTGTCTGGTGCTTCTTGCTCTGTTTCCCACTGCGATGCAGCAAAGTTAAATTGTTTTATGTGCTGCAGTTCTGCCACAGTCTTTGAAACTTCAGAGTGAAGCCCAAAGTTGCCACTTAAAATTGAAGATACCCCCTTTCATTCATTCTGCATCACCCAGCCAGAGCAGGCTGAGCTTGGTATTTCCAATGTCCTTTTCTTCAGCTTTTTCCAGTTCCACTTGGGAGATACCACAATGCTCAAAGGCCAAATGAGATATATATAACCCCCCCAGTGACTTCAGGATCTGCCCCGGGGTCGCCTCCCAGCTGGGGGTACCCAGAAAGCTTCTGAAGGGAGGCACCTGGAGACATTTTAATGAGACACCTGCAACACCTCAGTGGGCTCTTGATGAGAAGGAGCAGGGTCTCTACTCAGAGCTTCTTCTTCTTCTTCTGGATGTCTTGGCAACCACATGCTGCTACTGAAACATGTGGTTGAAGTAGCAACATGTGTCTGTTGCTGTCGCTAGGTGAAGTCCAAAACATCTTTGTGATTGCTTTGGTCACTAAAAGATTGTGCCAATCTCTTGAAGTTTGTCAGCTTGTCTCCAATCATTCACAAACTGGTGAGTCAGCAGTAGTGAAACTTTAATCAGTGCAGTTCACACTGAAAATCATTTGCCTTCAAAGTAAACGCGTCTCTGCTACCACCAACATGCTTCAATAGGTACAACTCCCCATGCACAGTTGGCCAGTGGTTGCAGACAACTCGGTGTCTACCTGAGAGCATCACTCACAAGTTTAAGCAAGAAGTTTCTAGAAAAAATAGAGCACGCAGCTTAATTCGTATTGGCTGCTTCACCTTTATCAATAACTGCAGTGTAGTTTACCTGCAGTCCCCATGTTTCACAGCTCACTGAGCTCAGCTCAGTTTTGTTTATATACCACCAAATCACAGCAACGGCCACCTTGAGGCGCTTTATATTATAAGGACTCTACAATAATTGCAGAAATGTCCTATGAACAAGTACTTGGCAACAGTGGGAAGGAAAAACTCCCTTTTTAAAAGGAAGAAGCCTCTGGCAGAGATTCTGTGGAAGAGAACCAGGATTAATAATAACTCCTGATTAATCGCTCAGTGCATCGTGGGAAGCCCCAAACACAAACGGCCATCATTGCTTGTTTTAACCCAAAACTTGTTGCAGCCTTATTGCAGTTATTAAACCCTCCGTTCGCTTTGTATTGCTGTGATTTAATGTTTGTCACACTCTCAGCGTTTCATTTGATTCGTGTGTAATAGTTTCCCACTTAAAGGCTAAGTTATGATGTTTTTTAATGGTGGTTAGGATCACAGAGGAAACAGTGATCAGTGCTAACAGACTCCTGTCGCTCCTGCCTCTTCTTTTTCCAGAATGGTTTCGCTGTGGTCCGCCCTCCTGGACACCATGCGGAGGAAAGCACTCCCATGTAAGGCCAAAGCCGTCACCGCACTGACTTGGAGACACTTAATCTGCACGTATACAAAAGCCAGAGCTGGAACGGGCTCGTCTGGAATAGAAATTACATAAACCATTGAGTTTATTTGCACATAAAATCCTGAGAGCCTTTATTCTGCCAGCTTTCTCGGGCCCTGCTTTATTTATTTTCCATATTCTCCTCAAAAAGTCTTTAAATTGTCCCATTACAAAAATGAAAATGGAGCTCTGGCAAAGATATTCATAACAAACAGGAGCTCTTGCCCTCCGTCTGCTGCTGTTTCAGGGGTTTCTGCTACTTCAACTCTGTGGCCATCGCAGCCAAACTGCTGCAGCAGAGACTGAATGTCAACAAGATCCTCATTGTGGACTGGGTGAGTCACATGATCCTCTGTCATGTGACGCTAATCAGAAGATGCAGATTTTTCTTTTCTTAAGACCAGTTAGATTTATTTTCTTCTTCTACTCTCAGGATGTTCATCATGGCAACGGCACCCAGCAAGCCTTCTACGATGACCCCAACGTCCTTTACATCTCTGTTCATCGCTACGACGACGGCAACTTCTTCCCTGGAAGCGGAGCACCTGATGAGGTGAGTGTGTGACCTGTTTTACTTTTTAGTGGCCACTTCATTAGGCACACCTGTGCAGCTGCTTGTTAATGATATGTAACCAGCCAATCACATGGCAGCAGCTCGTGCATTCAGGCATGTGGACATGGTCAAAACAACCTGCTGAAGTTCAAAGCCAGATCAGAATGGGTGATTTAAGTGACTTTGAACGTGGCTGGACTCCTGATCTGCTGGGATTTTGCAGCCACGTGATTGGCTGATTAGATAGTTGCCTCAATAAACAGTTGACCTGGTGGCCAGGATACGCATATTAAATATGGCCAGCTTCACATAACAAGATAAAATTGTGTATAATTTAGCCCTGTCAGCTTCACGCTGTGTTTTATGGCTCAGTGTGATGAAGAAAAGTTGCCTTAAAGGGAGACGAGCTAAAACGAGTTGTTCCACACAGCGATTGAACTGAGGAGTATAAAATAAATAAAGATCATTTTAAACATGAACTCGAGTCCAAGAATAAAAACCGTGGAGCTGCAAAGGGTAATGATAATTGGTCCACTTCAGCTTTTTGACAGTTTTTAGTTTGGTTGCCAGTTTTTTCAGTCCACACTTCTTGAAGCTGGTCGCACTCCAAGTTTATGTTATCTGTCGGCTCCGGGTGTATCTTGTTCGTTTCCAGTTGAACTCTCTCCAAGGATCACTTTATTAATGCTCTGTTCTAATCGTAGTTTTTTTTTAAAGACATCTTGATCAAAAGGCAAGAAATAATCTGAAGTAGGGAGAAGCATCCTGTAATTACCCAAAAGAAGCTAAAAAGCTTAAAAAAAGGACATTTTCCTTTTTATTTGTGTCGTACACTCACTTGAAGTTTGTGCTCCTCTCCACAGGTGGGCAGTGGCCCTGGAGTCGGGTTCAACGTCAACGTTGCCTTCACCGGAGGTCTCGACCCGCCCATGGGAGATGCAGAATACCTGGCTGCCTTCAGGTACCAGATAAACCTTCAGCACATGTGAGGGGTCGGTTTAACTTTTGACGACAAACCTCGGAGTTAAGCGCCCTGCCTTTAAAGCCCTGCTCCCAAATAAAGTTTTCCCTTAAAGGGAGGGCGTATATAATGACTTCCATTTGTTTGTTGGCCTTCAGACTTCACAACAATATGCGGGGCCTTGAGTGTTTGACTTTGATCGTCATTGTTAGCAAGTTCAAAATTGACCTTAAAAACTGTTCAAGAAACCATCTCGATTAATATTCATCATATGAAAGAGCGTGGAGAGAGCTCTGTGACAAACTTCTTACTGTTTCAGGCTCTGCTCTAAGCATGTGGGTAAAGATAAGAAAATACACAATGAAAGGTGAAATGGTCAGACGTCAGCGTGTTGTAATAAAAGCATCACAAAGTTTTCTTTCTGAGAGCTCCTGTTCCTTTGTCATGATACCAAATGTTTCTTCAGGTGGATGTTTCTGTTTGGACGGCCATAACTAATCACATGATACTTTCTTAATAGATGAAACTGGATGAAACAGATATATTCAGCTTTTTATCTCATGAAACAAATAAAAGTAACTGTGTGACGCTCATTAATAATCAGCTTTAATAATTTGCCGAACTTTAATGAAGCAACTGTTTGTCATGAAATCAATAATGATTGAAGCTTGCTTCTCCTTTGTGCGTCGCCTTTGTGCAGATGATGTTGAGATGTTGGCTGATGCACTGTTTAATCTTTGAACCCCGCCCTTCCACTCGCAGGTCAGTGGTGATGCCGATAGCCAGCGAGTTTGCTCCAGACATCGTGTTGGTCTCTTCTGGCTTCGACGCCGTCGAGGGACACCCTCCCCCGCTGGGCGGCTACACTCTGACATCCAAATGTGAGTAGGAGATTATCGGTAGTGTTTCTTATCTCGCGCTCCAGCCGCTCCACACGCGCGCACGCTGCTGACCGAGCTTTGAAGCCGAGTCTAACAGAGCGCTAAAATGTTAACGAACTTCAGCAGCTGTGGAAGGCATTCAGATACATTTAAGTGCATTCACCTCCTTCCTGTAAACTCTCTTCAGGTTTCGGTTATCTGACAAGGCAGCTGATGACCCTCGCCGGAGGCCGTGTGGTCCTGGCTCTAGAGGGAGGTCACGACCTCACCGCCATCTGTGATGCCTCCGAGGCCTGCGTGGCCGCCCTGCTCGGCCAGGAGGTAAGGAGGTCACTCTGAAAGCACGCAAGGCTGTAATCCTAATAAAAGGACGTCTCAAAGGGTCGACGTTAGAAACAAAGACCGGTCGAAGCAGGACTCGGACCACGCTCCTTTGTTTCTGCTCATCTTACACATGATAACTGACTGGAAGTGGACATGAGAAGAAATGGAGAAGTTAGTGATTAAGTAAACACATCTCGGCTCTGTATGTTCTCAAAACGTATGCAAGTTTTAGCCAATAAGAAGAGGTTTGGCTTAAAGGGGTGGAGCTAAAATAGCCAGTTTTAATAGTGTGAGTCGACTCCATTTTACTCTCCAGCTGTGAAGACTAAAGTCGTCACAAAACCGGGCATGCAGCGTGGACACACAACAATTCAGGTTAATTTTATTTATATAGCATCAAATCCCAACAGCAGATTGCCTCAAGGCACGTTTTGCTGTAAGGTAAAGAGCCTATAGTAATATGAGTAAGCGCTTTGGTGACAGTGGGGATGAAAAACATCCTTTTAACAGGAAGAAACCTCAAAAATAACCAGGCTCAAGGAGGGATGAGTGCGATGACTCAAGAAGAAAGTCACCTGGAACAGCGTTTCCCAACCACTGTACTGCGAGAAATGATCAGGTGTGCCGTGGAAGATTATCTGCTTCCACCTGATCAGTAATGACCGGCGTGAGTAACGGGCAGAACAATTACAGCCTCTTCCACTAGAGGGCAGTACAACTACCTGCTCTAATTAAATAGGTTGCCGAGTGCCAGTGAAACAGAAGACGAAGAAGAAATGACACAATAGTCATGCTGTGAGTGAGGCAGCGCAGTACGTAATAGCAATCGATAAATATTTGAAACGACAAAGTAGTCGTAGTGCCCGAGGGGGGAGTCGTAGAGCAGTGTTCAAAAGAAAGCAAAAAAGCTAACAGAGCCTGGTGCCCAGAGAAAAATGATCAATATGCTTTTTGTGAAATTTGTTTGGTGGTGTGCTGTGGGATTTTTCTCATGTGGAATGTGTGGAATATGTGGAATATGTGGAACGGCTCCGAAAGGTCGGGAAACACTGACAGAACTTTCAAATGTCACCACAGGGTCAACAAGGATTCTGAGGCCGGGCAGCAATATTTTACTGGTTCATTTCTTTCTGGTTGTTTTCTTAAATAGTTATTGTTATTTATTAGATTTTTTTAGATATATTTATTGTATTTATATTATTTATTTATAAAATAGTCTTTATATTATTATTGTATTTATTTGTTGATCCACACTTAAACTCCGGGGCAGTCGATAGACGTCGCTGTCCTGGAGCGGCTGAGATTCATTAAAAAAGGCTGGCAGGTCATCCTGTTGAAGCTGTTGCACGCTCATGTTTGTGTTTTCTCTGTGTTTTTGTCCCATGCAGCTGGACCCACTGCCCAAGGCTGTCCTCGAGCAGAGGCCAAACCCCAACGCTGTTCGCTCTCTGGAGAAAGTCTTGGAGACTCACAGTGAGTTGACCGTTGCAGGAGCACCGACTCATAACACCGATACCCACAGGGACAGAGTTTATTAGAAACCTAATCTGTATCTGTAGCTTCATAAACAATCCAAAGGGTTTAGCCTTCATGGAAGTAGTACGTGAAAGGCAAGCTGAGTAACACTCAACATGTCATTTCTCTGTGACAAAATAAAGTCTGCAACATTTTTATTAGAGAATATCTATTTTTACTTTTTAAGATTCTCTCTGGTTCATTTTCGTGTGAGCTTCATATATTTAAGGTCAGCCCTCTTAATGCTTTACTTTTATTCACTTCCTCTGCGTTTGTTGTTTTTTCTCCCTCCTGTCTTTTATCTGCTCCGTCTTCTCAGGTAAGTACTGGCGCTCGGTGCAGCGCTACTCGCCGCGGCTGGGGCTTTCTTTGCTGGAAGCCAAACGGGGAGACTCGGAGGAGGCTGAGGCCGTCAGCGCCATGGCCTCTCTCTCTGTGGCCAACTCTAATGCCATGGAGCAAAGGTAAGGATCCAAAACCACAAGTAAACACAGTGTTAAGAGCAATAGTCTTGACTTAAGAGTAGTTATACACTTTATATAACCTTTAAACCCAGCAACAGTAAAGTCACTACTTTCTGTCGTTGACATCAAGTCTGCAGTCGGAGTAACGTGTTGTTAAATATATTTAATCCTGATGGAAACCTCCAATAAAACCTCCGAATAACTCAAAGATTCATTCGTTTACTGAACAACTTCTGCATATACTGATCAACTGCACGTATATTTTGTAAATATACTCCCTGGACTATATTTACAACTTTAAAGCCTTTAAAGAGATAACATAGATGAAATCATAGTGACTTTGTTTGTCTTTAGATAGGGTCAAAGGTCATTTATAAAGCAACCTAAACAAAGAGCCAACAAGAACATTTTCTACTTCTTGTACCGTAGTGGATCCACCTCACCCTGTCCCCCACATCCTCCTCCGTCACACCAACCAACATGTGCTCCTTTACTACATCCATGAATCTTCTCTGTTCTGAACATCTAAGCATCAACTCAGCTTCCTGTGTTTTTGTCAGGGGCATCATCTCCAAACCACAGCAGCCCTCACTAGCATCTTGTAAATCTGCCCTTTCACTCTTGCTAAGGTCTTAAATTAATGTCATTTAATATTTAAATAACTGACTTCAGGATGCTAAAATGGCTGAAATCATCTGCACAAAAGAAGAAAAAAAGTATATAAGGTGAAAGCAGAGAGGAACTTTTTCCTGATGCTACCCTTTGTTTGAATGGCTTGAAGGAGAGATTTAGATGCATGGGTGTAGATCTACCTGCTAACAAGTGCTGAGTAACGTCCTGTTAGTGCAATTACAAGAAGCAATGTGTGCTATTTGTCAGAAAATAGCATTAAATGTGATCCAAAAGGCACAAACACAGTCCAGAGGTCCAGTTTACGAAGTTAAATTAGCTGACGTACCATGCAGCGAACAGCCGCCACATCGACCACTTCAGGTCAGAGACGCGATCAATCATGCAAACTTTAAAGGCCTTTACACACCAGATGTGTAAAGTTTATGACCTATTTTTAATGTAGCCGTACACACCAAACACACACTCAGCTCAAAACGCACTCGTACTGAATATACAATGAATATACAATCATATAGTAAAACAATACTATTTTAATAATAGTAGTAGGAATACTAATACTATTTAATATCAATCAATATTCACTATCAGACGCACAGTTGGACATTGTTTTGGGTCAACTGGCTCTGAGTTCAAACTGCTTCACTGACATCATGAAACATACGTGAAAGCGATCGTGATACAACTTTAACTGTAAAACATCAGGACCTGCTCATCGTTGCTTGATGTTGAGTCAAGTCTTTTTCACAGTGCAATCTATGAGGACGAATGTCAGTGTGTGTACATACGTTACACAACAAATTTGCATCCAAACATTTGGAATTTCGTGGGTTTTTTGAGGGAGTTGGGGGACAGTTTGCAATGTGCTTGGTGTGTCATGGCCTTTAGTCTTAAAAACCTTTAAATGCCTCTATATCAGTAAAAAAGACCCTGTGTGTAGGTGTCAGGAAATAGCAAATAAGCTATCGAGACCAAAACTGTTTTTGTTGCCAGCTGCCAACATGTTTTTTCTGCTTTAGAGTTGTAGAGTTATTTTAACATGAGAGTTGATGGGGATTGACTCACTGTTGGAGCAAACCCCAAGTGGCCGCTAGAAGAATTGCAGTTTTATCTTTCCACACTGGACTCCCATTCTTTCAGTCCTCGATGGTGCTGGTAAAGTTGAGGAGGCATTTTGTTAATGACAGCTTGAGGTCTAGTATTAATATTTCTGTGTTATATCTCCTCAGCAGGTCTGAGGAGGAGCCCATGGAAGAGGAGGAGCCGCTGTAGTGGACGAAAACGTGAGGGCGTCACCGCGTTACCATTGACCTCTCCGGAGAACGCCTCTTTGAGCAGCAAAGAGTCTCGACTGATCCCTTCATTTAGTCCCCAATAACCCCACTCACCACGTCAGTCACCTTGATTGGCGGCCCCTCGGCCAAAAAAAACGAGGGAGAGGGGGTGGGCTCAGCCTCAAGAGTAGGGAGCCAATCAGAAGACAGAGGAGGACTGAACTGGAAAAAACTTGTTTAAACATACCGGCAAGCGCTCGCTCAGAGACGTTTTATCTGTCAGTCTTCGCACCCCCATGTTAGCCCTCGCCGGCTGATCAAGTGATCACGGCAGCGGGCGAGCGTATTTGGAGCGGAGCGATCGGGAGAGGGCAGGGGCGAGATCAGATCTCGTCACCGAAAGGTGCGATGACACTTCTGTGCAGAAAATACGGTGCTTTACGCGGCTGCCCTCTGACCACATCCAGTACGGACACGGGGACAGCAGACGTCCCCAGCTGTCAAGAGGCAAGCGCGGGGATTTGTTTTCTTTTTTTCTTGACTATTTTCCCTCCCTAAAGAAATGGGGGGGGGGCATCATGGCAACCGAGAAGATAATTTTACTAAATGTGTTCACTGTGGACTTTGGTTGGGCCGAAGTTTGAGTAGGCTTTTACAAAGATTTTAACGGTGAGACTCCGTCGCCTCGCCGGACCAGCCTGTTGTCGAAGGTTGACGAGTTAGAGGAGTGCCTTGGTGAGGGTCCGCTGGATTTCACGATTGTTCAGGAAAAGATTGCCTTAAGATTTTTCTCGCCGAGGAATCGGCCCGAGGGTGCGGGAGACGGAGGAGAGTTTCAAGTCCTTTCTTGTGGGGGGGGGGTGATGAAAAATATAGCAAACAATCTTTCAGCATGTTTACTTGGAACGTGACGAAGACAGCATTTATGTCTCTCACGGCCTCTCTTGAAGAGTTACTTTACTTTTTTTTTTTGGATGGATCTATTTTTCTGTAAAAAAGGAAGAAAAGAAAGAAGGAAATGAAAGCGCTTTGTAAAGGTAGTTGCCAGCTTCAGTAGAGGAAAAAAATTAAAGGTGCAAACATGGAGACCTTCAAAGAAGGAATTAGAAAAGGTTTAGCCTTTAATGTAGCTTCCCTTTAATCGAAGTCGTCGCTTTGTAAAACGCATGCATTTGAGCAGAGAGGCCAGACATGTTTTTTTTCTTTGTTTCTTTTTACCTGCAAGATATTTTGAATGTTATCCAAAAGAGAAAGCCAAGCAAGAGAAAGCCAAAGCATGAGTTTGGATTTACAGCAGCACTTAACTCCACTTAGATGGCAAGCCGACAAACATTTCACGTATTGGCCCTTTAAGACAAGGCGCCCAATACCCAGTTCAATGTTTACTGATTTACTCCTTCACAGATCAGGTGTGTGCCGAGCCCATGCTTTGCCGGTTGGCAACTACCTTGGTTACTATTGTGAGCTAAACATCAGCCATGTATATTGAATTGAATATATTTTGAGAGGCAGTAATCGAGTATTGTCTTTGTTTGTATTTTACATGTATGATTTTCGCATCAACTTGTCAATTCTGCAACGTCAGAAGTGTGTTTGGTAAGCGTGTCCACTCCTTTTTTCTTTTTTTTTACTTTTTACTGTATAAAATTATTTTTCTAACTTTTTCATCCATAGATTTTGTTCTGTGTTTTTATCCGTTTTCTGAATAGTTATAGGGCTGCCATTCACGTCCTTAGTACTGTTGTTCTTTCTTTCTTGTATTTATCAGAACTAAGGAGCAACTCTTTCTTTCTTTCTTTCTACGGCTCCCTGAAGCCTTTCTGCATTTTCATCAATGATGTATTTATAACATGTACTGTTTATAGGAGATTTGTATATGGAAAAATTTATAAATGTACTCTAAACTAATGACAGCTATGATATTGTGAGCAAAAAAAAGAAAAGCAGTATGGTGTAAGATGTTACTCCATGAACTTTGAAAAAGCAGCATATTTAACTCGTCATCGACTGCACTGTTTTCCAGTGGTCGCTACGCGGCACCGCGGTTGACTTTTTAAACACCTACAGAGTCAAGACATTTGATCACTTTGTTGCCTAACATTTCCTCTGGTGCATGTGCGACATGCGCTTACCTTTCAACTGTGATAACACCCAAAAAACAAACAAAACAACGTTTAGAGGCCACCTTATGTAGCTAGCTGAGTTTTCTGTGGTGGGAAAAGAAAAGAAGGGGACACCTATGTCAACGAAAGGATTTCTTTCTTTTTGTTTTTCAAGCAGCTCGGGATGGAAAACATCAGCCAATCATTTCAAAGTCCTTCTCTAAGCATGTGTGGCACTATCATGACGTCGGTGTTTCCTTCTTCCTTTTCCTGCTTTGAACTGACCTGACACGAAGAGTAGATCGAATACATTCGAATGAGCCCCCATCTGTCAACTGCTTTGTTAAACACCTGATTAAAGACGACTGTCATGTTTATTTTTAAAGGGACTTTTCATCCCCCAAATCAAATGAGCGTGTTTTTCCTCTGGCCTGTAGTGATTTATCCAGTCGGATTGCTCCGGTGCGAGTTGCCCATTGTTGATGATATCAGCTGTAGACATTCCTGTGGCTTTTGAATATAATGGGACTAAAAAGAAGTTTCCTTGTGCTGCTCAAAAAGAGGAAAAAAGATGACCCACTTATACAAAAATATCCACAAATCTTGCTGTGAGGAGCTACATGTAGAAGCTATTTTCTTTCCACCAAAATACATCCACCATCTAACTGTGATTAGGCTTAGATGCCATATTGCAGATGGTAATGCGGATGTATTTTTGCCCTCGCTATTTTTGTCAGTGGAGACTCGGGAGATCTGAGTTTCTGTTCTGACCCATTTCTGTATAAAATGGCAACTTTTTGAGGTTTTGGATGTTACAGTTTAGGAAATGATTAAAACTAATAAACAGGGGCTTACGTTCCACGGGTGTTAACACTTTACTGTTGCAAATATGACAGGATTGACAGGAGTTCACAATCAAAAATCAACAACTTCTTTTTAGCTGATTTCATGTTCAGTGGCTGTCCTGACACTAAACGAACCCAATATGAGCTTTAATACTATCTGCATACTTCTTTTGGCTAGCGGATCTAGTCAGTAGAAATAAATTATACATAAATTATCCATGAAGACGTTTGATTTTTGGAGGACACGTTGCTGAGTTTTTAAAATATCTTTTATGTCTTTGAGCATCACAAGGTGAGTCCCATTTTTTTTGAACCCCAATTGATTTATCAAAACTTCAACCATAATTATTTGCCATACTATTGGTAATGGCATTTATAACAGCCAATAAATGAGAATTTTAAAAAATAAAGAAGAGAAACACCCTTCACCAAGTTATGAGTGTTGACATTACATAGTGTGTCCACCAGAGGCCACTATGCAGCGCCACAAAGACAACCAGCTGGTTTGAGCATAAATAAGTAAGTACACCCCCCCAAAAAAATTAGGGTAAATTTTTTTGTTTGTCCAAAAGAAAAACGTATATTGGTATATCACAATATCGGATTTTCAGATCACCAAATGTTGGTATCAGTCTTAAAAATCCTTTATCAGTCAGGCTATGGCCAGAAAAGGCTGAGTTTTCTAATCCCAGCACAGTCGGGCAGAGCTTAGACAAGTAAATAAATAAGTACACTTAACAAATTTTAGGGAAATTTCTTTTGGTTTTTTAAAAGGAAAAAAATATCAGCTGATATCTCAAAATATATACATTAAAAAAATATATATTGGTATCTGTCTTAAAAATCCCTTATCAGGCCAACTCTAGCCAGAGAAGGCCCAGCTGTCTACAACCAAAACTGGTCCACTTACAGCAGAATAATAGACGTGGATGAGCAGTAGGACAGGCCAGAGGAAAGAAATGTCTAAATTTGAGTTGATATAATTTTCTAAACTTGTAAGATTTGCGGTTAAGTTGATATTTTTCATCTCTAACCAAACATTCCACTTGTTACTTGCTTAAGTTGTAGATTTTTTACTACTCTTTCTTTTTTTGCTGTCTGCTCGCGCCAAACTTTAACTCTTTGCATGGTTTGTGAGTCAGCATGCCTGCTTGTCTGTGTAACAAAAAGTGTATTTGCACAATAGAAGAAGAACACTGGAGGACTTATATATTTAAAAAAAACATAAAACAAAAAAAAAAACCTCCCTTGGCAGCTCCCAAGAGCTCCAGGAGGGATGTTTTTTTTTTTCTTCCTCTCTGGTGGGCAAACAATTCAAAGGACTTTGTCCAAATGACTCCACTGAGAAACATTTAATATCATTCTTATTGGATAAGTGATTTCAAGCACTTACGACTTGTATGAACTGTGTTTGAGAGAAACGTGCTCTGCCAAACCTCTGCTACATTCAGACCTTAAAGACGCTCCCAAAGAATGTTCCTCTTTCAAAGATTTCTAAACGGGCACTGGAGAAATCAGTTGAGAAAAAGGTTTGGGGGGAAAAAGGGCATCGTCGTTTGATTGTCACACCCACCTCGGCCAGTTCTATACATATATATAACCACTGTGGCTCAAGAGCAATTCTTGGTTTACATGTAAATGGATTAAAAAAGTTATTTTTTGTTTGTTGTTTGTCTCTATTGATGAAAAATGTTATCTTTCTTTGGGACCTACGCTTTGGACATTTCATCTCTGACATCATCTATAAAATATATTTCTGAAAAATACGAGCGGCTCCAGTCGTGTTATTGGTTTGTCATCATTGACAGCATTGGGGTAACTTGTTGCTACCTCGTGAGGTTTTGACCTCAGTGACCAGGATTCTGGACCTAATCAATACAATCATTGGTGTCTGGTCACGTTCTAGCTGATGATGTTCTTTGATCACACAACTGAAACGATTACTCAGAGTCTGTGATAGTGCAAATCAATCCAAAATAATCAGTAGTATTGGTTTCAGGGTATCTGCAGAGCAGACAGTGAAGTCATGCTCTTTCTTGAGCTGAAAAATTAGCTGGCCACCACGTGACGGCAAGAAAGAGCACCACGAGAGGCATAAAGTCTCAGATGACTTCTCTCTGAGTAGTAAATCGAATTACAAAACCCAGTGTCACAAGTGTGCAGGCTGCATTTGGGCAAAGGCCAAGCAGTCACTATCAGCTGTGGTCAAACATTTAGTCTAGAACATGATTTAAACGTCAAAGTTTGAAAGATCAAAAACGCTGATAAATAAGAAATCTGGCATTCATCTGATTGCATTTCTGTATATAGCTTAGAAGCAAAATGACGTACGGGGTCACAGGAATAAAAGCTCGTCAGTCGTCTCAAATCATCACGCGGTTTCTGCTCCATCTCTGGTTTGCCTAAAACTTTAATACTGCAAAGTTCAGATCGATCTAATCACTGCTGATAGATCGATTTTGACATATTTACTTTTATGTACAATATTTTTTTTATTTGCACTTGTTGACCTTTAATAGCTTTTACTATTGTTTAAAAACTTTACGTGAAATATTGGATTCCTCCAGGGCAGTGTAAGTCCAACAACAGTAGGTAGAGTAGCTCTCAAAACTGAATATGAATATGCAAACATTTAACAATATTATTTATTCAAATGGTTACCATTTCCAGAATTCTGTTCTATTTGGATTCAACTATATACTGATATTTTTGTTTTTCTGGTAAGGGTTGTCATATTTGCTCAATCCAGCATGAAAGTTGAGTGAAAATATAACTTTATTCACTTTTGTGATAAAATATTTTCTTAAAAATATTCTATATGCTTCATTTTGCATGCTTGTGAATTGCAACGATATACCATTCAAAATTATCACTAGTTTGTTTTTTTTGTTTTTTTATTGGTATGTTTTAATAGGTGTGACTTTACAGGACAGCTTGAATGTTTAAAAATATTTCATACTCAGCTATTTTTCAACGTATCTGTCCCACGTTACACATCCCACAAACACCAGTGAGAATTCCAGGCTTTTATCTTTAATAGTGTCTGATGCCAGTGTCGTTTTCAAACATTGGCTCAGATTTTAAGTCAAAAAAAGAAAAAAGAAAGGTAAAGGAGTTGGATGGACAATTTTTCAAAATAAATAATCTAGAAAAGTATTTCATATATAAAACTACAATTTCACAGCAATTATTATGTTTGTTCAAACGTTGAACCACACTATATTTGGGTAAATCTGGGCTCGTCGAGTGGAAAATGTTGGAAAGATTTTAGATGGATTGAGCCTTAATGAGAATAGCATGAGGAAAGGCTTTCGGGCATTAATAATTAACAGCGAATTTAAAAAGGAAAGCTTGTTTCTCTTGGAATGAATAATAGCTGTGTAGTTATTAATTCATAAGAATATTTAACAATTAGTTTGGCACATTATAACAGCATAAAAGCTGGGGCATTTTACACTACGATGCTCTCGACAAACTAAATGGAAATGAGGATATATATATATATATATATATATATATATATATATATATATATATATATGTATGTATTTATTTTTTTTTAATAGAATAAAAGTTTAAGATTGCTTAATGTGCACTAAATGGGAAAGCATATATATTTGTTGTGCAATAAAATGTTGATTCTGATTATAGTATCAATATATTAAGGAGTTAATTTATAAGGTAATAAAGTCACATGCTACACGGTGAAATCTGAGCAGACATGGGGTAACCTGGGACAGTGTAAGCCAATAAAAAGATCGATTTGAAAGATGTCTTGAGATAACGTTCTTCATTCATAAGTGGACAGCTCTGCCGTCCAATGAGGGGCAGGCACTTCCCCTCACCGTGCAAACGCTGAGCTCGTATTTCCTCTCCGCCGACGGTCCCAGCAGCGGTGCGATGCTCACTCTCCAACCTTAAGCTTCATTTCTTCCCCCTTCTCTTCCCCCCAAAGCACCCTTAAAGCGGGGACACCTCGTGTCTTTTATACCTTTCTTCATTTTTCTTTTTCTCGAACAAGCAGCTCCAGGTTTTTGGACATGCCTAACATCGTGCTTTTTAGCGGGAGCTCCCACCACGACCTGTCCCAGAAAGTGGCGGATCGGCTGGGACTGGAGCTGGGGAAAGTGATAACGAAGAAATTCAGCAACCAGGAGACATGGTGAGTATATTTGGGATTTGCAGACTATGCTAGTTATCTTGACATTAACGCGAAACGGGTTTGTCTTCTCTTTTTGCCCTCAGTGCTTTGGCTCGGTGTCCCCATGTGGGAGGGTTAGCTTCTGGCTAACAATAGTTTACTATTCACGTCTACACGTGACTAGCTAACCACATGTAAACATAGCAGGTTAGCTTGCTAAAGTTGGGGCGTCCTTTATCGGACACCTGCGCTATCCTTATCATTGAGGACTTGTTTTATTACTTAAAATGCTCTGTTCACCTGTCTTGCGTGCGTTCAAAACAACAGGTGTAAACCAGCGTCACGTAACACTTAATGCCGTATTTTGTATCTGCGTCGCAAACTCCACAACGAGCTCGTGTCTTATCAAACTCGGCTTTGTAGCCATTTAAAGGGATTTTCTGTTAGCTAGGAAAACGCTACTTTTGAGAAGGGAACAGGCTGTTACTGCTGTTAAATAATTTAAGTTAAATTGTGGTTATTACGGTATAACTGATTCAAGCCTCGCTCGTCGTTGTCTCGGTTAAAGTGCGCTGGTGTGCGGGGGTCAACTACGTCCGATAATGGATGCTGGTTTACCCCGCTGTCATTTTAACACACTCTTGAGTTAGCTTGCTAACTTCATAGACCGAAATATAGCTAAAGGCATCTGAAGGCATTAGCATACATTTAAAAAGTCCACAGCAGCCACAGAGATACGTTACATGTTAAATAAGAGCACAGCTTGTTTCTGCTGCCTCTGTGTATGAGGGAAGATGGTTAACTGTCCACTGGTTGTGTCACATGTGCTTAATTAATTTGAGCTTATATCCACAATACCGAGCTCACCATTAGTTTATCCAGTGCCCACACGCATGCGTCGACCCTTGTTTAATAACTTTCAGCTTTCCACGGGGCTTTTATTACTTTTACTGCTTGTGGACTTGAATGTGTGCAGCCTGTCTGAACTCTCCTGCGGGATGATGACCTTTTGGTTTCATGTTTGCATGCTTGTGCTGACCCTGAGCTCTCAGCCCCCAGCAGCTTCAAATTCAGCACATATGGAGCTGCTGGGCTTCTTTTGGATGGAGTAACACGAGAAATGTAGTGTCTTGATTTTTTTTTGGGGGGGGGCTGCAGTGACCATTTCATTGCTGGGGGGGTTACTCAGAGAGGATTTCCTTGTGTGATGCACTCGACTGCATCTGTTGTTTGGTCATCTGCAGTCTCTCTTAAAGGTGTCTGGATCCTTTTTCCATTCACAGCTTTTAAAAAAACAAAAATCCAGGGAAACTCTTGATTATCTGCGGCGTGTTTGCTCTCCTGGGAACGCAGCTGTTTGTGCGACACAAAACAAAGATTATTTTCTCATCCTCTCACAATAAAGGGAGGCGATGGCAGCTCTTCTCAAATCTTCCGACTAAGACTTCACTTTGTGACAAAAACAAGAGCGTAAATCCCTGGGAATAAAACGGCATGGAGACTTTTTATTTGTGCTCTTTTCCCTTGATGATCAGGCTGGGGAAAATACTCTGTTACTCAGCTCAAGCTGATGGAGTTGAAAGACCCAGACATGGAGGATAAAGGGAGAATTTGAGGCTATTAGTGGACTAACTTTGCAGACTTGGAGCGATATACAGTATCAGTGTTTGCACAGCCTCTGCTGATGTCATTAAGTTCTATTAACTGTTTGTCTAATCGTGATTCTCCCTCTGCATAGCTGTGCGTGCAGTGATCACATGACTGAGGTTGACGGGACTTGGTCATCTCCCACAGAGGAATGTCACACACACACACACACACACACACACACACACACACACACACACACACACACACACAGTGTCAGCTTCACATGTTCAACCTGAGCAGAGGGACTCAGCCCAGACTTGGCCTTTAACACTAAAACCTGCAGTGTCCCACAGTGCAGTTTGTGTGAGTGTCAATATAAAGGTAAATGTATTGTTGGGGATTTTCTGAGCATCACAGAATCCTGTAGTTTTAATATCAGATTTATAATATAAAGTGGTCAAGTGCTTTTTTTGTTGTTGTTGTTTTGACTGATCCATCCTTGAGTTTTTCTTTTACCTGGATTTAAGCAACAAGACACCAAAGTTATGTTTCTGTCTTTGTGCTCAGTTTATGTCTCTGGTAATTTTGCATCTTTGGCCTTTTGGAGATTTTTGGGCTTGTTTTGAGGCTATATTCTGTCTCGAGTCTTTTAAAGTCTCTTTGTGGCTTTTTAGTGTTGTTTAGTTTCTCTTTGTGGTCTTGTGCCTCTGACTTGTATCTCTTTGGAAGTGTTTTTACGCTGTGGGTTTTCTTTATGCGTTTTTTCCTCTTTGCGTCATTTTGAGTCTGTTTTTGGTGACTTTGAATCTTTTTGACTGTTTTGCTTTGAGTCTCTTTGGTAACTCTGAGGATACGTTCTGCGTCTTTAGAAACTCTAAAGCTTGTTTCTCATCTCTCTTTTTTTGTGGTCATTTAAAGTCTTTGTGGCTTTTGTTGTGTCTCTGTGGTCTTGTACCACATTGGTTGAATTGTCTGTTTACGTGTGGTTTTGGTCGTTTTGTCAAATGTCTCATTGTCTCTTCAGTCTTGTGGGTT